GCTTATTTTTAAACGCTGAACTGGAAATATTAAAAAAAAAACCTGGATCGAGAGATTTTCTAAATTATTAAAAAATATAAAATATACGAACAAAAAAATGCCTTTAAGAAATAATAAAGTAAATATCAGTCAGAGAAAAAAGGGTAGTAGAATAGTAAATGCAGTTGGGACAAATTTTTAATTTCTTTAAAATCTAAATTATACATCGCGCCTTTATCGCCAATTTATATTATTCTTATTACCAATACTACCATAATATATATTCAACTTGTCCAGCTTCATATATGTCCAACAATAATTTGAGCCTTTTATTTCTAATATTTTCATTGTACGTTACAAAAGGAAGTACTTTTATATTTCATAATAATTATAATTATAACACAATATAATATAAATAATATTATATATAATATAATAATTAATAAATTTTATTCATGGGTAAATAACTAGATCAAAAAGTGCTCTCACCTAGGTAATATCAAACTACCACTTCCAGATGAATACCATTTCCGGAACAAATTTTTCGTCTAAAATCATTATTTTGTATTAGGAGATTGGGGTGACAGGAGCGCAACACACATTTCATAATCACCATAAGAGAAATGAAAAATTGAGCTCTTGTTATCTTCTACTCTCCTAATATTAAAACATAACAAAACATGAAAGTCACTAAAAAAACTTTTTAGAGAGATAAAACTCATCTACAAGACAGTAATGAAACTTATATGGACCTACGGGCAAAAGCTTTGGGGGACAGAAAAATTTTCTAACATCAAACGCATTCAATCCTTTCAGTCCAAAGTTCTTCGAAGAAGAGTTGATGCTCCGTTCTACGTAACCAACAAAACCCTACACCATGGCCTTAATATCCCAGTTGTTCTAGACCTAATTCCTAAAATTTTTACCAAATGTCATCAAAACCTTACATATCATCCAGATCCATTTCTACTTGCCCTTAGATGTGACAAATTGTAATATTGCTCAATAAAGAATTGATATATATATATAATAACTATTTGCATCAAGCGACGAAAAATGATGTATATCTCTACATAAAAATACAAGTGGGCTTATAACGCCTATAAATACTGAATCTTGATTAAGTATTCTAGTGTCTTCGACGACACATTACTTCTCATTATGTTCCATGCATCTATGCATGCCAAAATCCGGAAAGTTCCTGGAATCGTTTATTGTGCAAATACACAGAAGGTAGATTAATATATTGTCAGAAAAGTTTAGAGTTTCGTTCGGGTATAGATGGCACCCTTAAATATTCATAGATACAAACTAACGTGAACGCACCAGTTATGGTTGGACTTAAACTTTTAAACTTTTATTATGATATTTACAACTGTATTAGTATGAATATATCAAGTAAATTTGTACAGAGAAATATTATCACATGAAACACGCTTGTTGAGAAACTACCCACTGGTAGCACTCTAATAATTTGTCTACATGAGAAGATCACGAGGCCATCTTCTTTTCAGACGACTCGGAGGGTTATCAGGAATCGAAGAGGAACCAAGGTTAGAAACAAGAGGATTCGGATGGTTATGAAGTTTATTATGGAAGGATAGGTATCTGGATTTGGCCAAATCGGAAACATATGGAACATTGAGGTCTTTATGGATTATTTTATTAGTGACAAAGTAAGGAGCATTGAGGATTTTACGAAGGATTTTGGATTGTAAGGATTGGATGCGAGAGGAATTCGATGGTTTAGTGGAGCCCCATAGCTCAACTCCGTAAGTCCAAATAGGTCTTATTATAGTCAAGTATATGAGTCTTTTGTAATTAATGGGAAGTTTAGAGCGTTTGTCTAGTAAGTGTTGGAGTAGTCGGAAACGTCGAGCGGTTTCTTGTCGTTTCAGTCTGGTATGAGGATTCCAAGTTAGACGTTTGTCGAAGTGAAGTCCAAGGTATCGGATTTGTTCAACAGGGTTAAGTGGGGTATTATTAAAGGTTACTGTGGGACATGAGGTCATAGGTTTACGTCGAAGGGTAAAGGTGATTTGATGGAATTTATTAGAATTTATTTTAATCCTCCAGTTTTGACACCATTCTTCAAGGCTTGTGATGTGTGATTGAAGAGTTTGGGATGCAATGGTTGGGTCATTATTAACGCATAGGACACATGTATCATCGGCATACGTGGTAATAACAGTGTTAGGATGGGTTGGGATGTCAGCTGTATAAACTGTGTAAAGGATAGGACCAAGGATACTACCTTGAGGAACTCCGGCAGATTGAGAAAAGAGGGATGAATAAGTATTATTGTGATTTACTTTGAAGTACCTATCAGTAAGATAGGAACTGATGATAAGAAAATATGTAGGGCGAAGGAATTTACGGAGTTTGTAAAGCAATCTAGTGGTTAGAATCTAGGATGGGATACAGGCGTTTTAAGATGAGCTTTTCCAGGATTTTGCCCATGATGGGTAAAAGAGAGATAGGACGGTAAGAGGATGGGTATTCTGGTGGCTTTTTGGGTTTATGTATCATTTTGACTACAGATAGTTTCCAAGGGTCAGGGAAATATGTGGAACGGAGTACGGATGGTTGGACTTAAAATGTAAATACATACAACAGCTTCCTCGTTGATTTAAAGGTTCCAGTTTTTATAGATTGAAGAACAATGCCCTTTGTTGACCTCTGTATGAACAAAGTTCCGAAAAGAAAATTTTAAAATTTCTATCATTGTTATTTCTAGTGTTCTTGAGATCTGCGTGTTTCATACATTCCTACTAACAGTTTTGCTAAGAGTAATTTGAACTTTTATGTTATCTTTATAGTTAAATAAAGATTTTATAATTTTTCTGAGGTATGTCAATTACTGGTACCTACCTCTCTTCCATTACTACAATTGAACTTCGGGGTGTCCATCACTAGTGGTAATTTTTTTTTTTTTTTTTTAAATGGAGATTATATCTGCATAACTGAATATTTTTTTCAATTTTAAAGTGTTAAATAGAAAAAGGAGACTCTAAAAATTCTAAATGTCCAACAGATAAGTTTATAACTATAATAATTAACATAACTCAAAAAAGACCAAAATTTCCTTAAATATGTCCATCACTGATGTGCTTATCCTAAAAACCCACTTATATTTTATGTACATATACATTACTGTCCGTCCCTTAAGAGGGATAGATTTATTTGCTTTGTCGGTTTATTTTGTAATTAATATATTTTTATCATTATTTATCTTTCAATAAATTGTTTCAGATAATAATATTCACGATTAAATCATTCAAAAGAATGATGGACCTCTCCGTTCTAATACTTTCAATATTACTGCTAACTTCAATGGTAAGTTCTTATTCAGCTGCCACAGAATATTCATTTTCTTTAGCGTACTTATATAGACATATATGACTTATATACTTATATAGACATATATAACCTATATATTTATATAGCCAAATATAACTTATATACTTAAATAGGCTGCAAAGGAAAATATTTAAAGGAGTGACAACAGACCTCAAGAACTACAGAAATTTTTATATAAATGTTGGTCCGATTTTCTGTAAAAACGTAGGAGTCTCTTTTCTACTTTAAGCACACCAATGACGCAGAATTTTTCTCTTATCGCCTCTCTAACATGGCGCACATTGGTTGAAAATCGCGTTTTATTTCGAAAAAAAAAACCTGGCAATACCGATCTGTGAGTCATATAAGCTATTATTTATAATTTACTAGCTGATGTACCCGTCGTTGATGGGTGTATAGTCAAAATTTGAGAATCCTTTTTTGAGATGGATTTTGTACTACGGGGGGGGGGGAGAAGGGTCCAAATTCAATTTCATAAAATTGGGTCAGGAGGAAGGAGGGAGTTTGTTTTAAAATTTCATAACAAAAACTTTGTTATTCGGCTATTTGTTTAGGTACCACAAAACTAAACCGACCACTACCGATCGATTAAAATTTTTTAAGTGTTTAATTTTCATTTGTGGAGTCGATTAATTAATCAAAAATATTTGTAGTCCCTCCACTTCTTTAAGCTCTGCTGAGTTTATCGTTGGCAAAATAACCAAAATAACATTGGACATTGAGTCACCTACGTACGTGTAAAATTAGAACATGAACTGAATATTGTGGCGGGCGGGATGAAATTTTTGGGAGTTTTTTTCCCCCTGATTTTCGGCTAATCTCTTTGATTAATTTTAAAGATATATACAACAACATTTGTTAGGCTCGAGAAATTGAATCGAATGATACCTTGAACAGGAAGATTAGAAAAAGTTGAAAACTGAGTGTATTTTATCCATTTTATGCAACAACGCGTTACAGATGTTCGGTATTTCGTATTTTTCCCGTTGAGTTGTGATATTTTTTCCACCAATTGAGTTGTACAACTTTTAAATGTGGCTCGCGGTAGAGTACGTTGGGATGGGAATCGAAATTAATAACTGCCTATCCGGGATCTCTAGACAAATTAGTCAAGAATTCATAACTTTGGTTCTACTCAATATTTTGTTTTCATTTAAAGCGACAAACGCTCTAAATTTCTAATTAATTACAAACGAATCATATACATGACTATAATAAGACCTGTATGGACTTATGGAGTTGAACTATGGGGCTCCACTAAACCATCAAATTCCTCTCGTATCCAATCCAAAATCCTTCGTAAAATCCTTAATGCTCTTTACTTTGTCACAAATAAAACCATTCATAAAGACCTTAATGTACCATATGTCGCTGATTTAGCTCGAGCCAGATATCTATCCTTTCATGATAAACTTCATTCCCATCCAAATCCGCTTGTTTCCACTCTTGCTTCTTCCTCGATCCCTGATAATCCTCCTAGGCGTCTGAAAAGGAGATGGCCTTGTGAGCTTCTTGCATAAAATTATTTAGGGAGTGGTACCACTGGGTAGTATCTCTTCAAGCCTGTACATGCAATTATTTATAATTTGCGCATATTTACTAATTGTATTTGTACACAATTGTAAATTTCATTAAATAAACAAAAAAAAAATATATATATAATGTCAACATTTCAAAGTCTACCATTAGCCATTGCCGAGCTTACCCCTGACAAAATTTCGTTGGACAATGCGGACGACAAATTTTTAAAAATTGGATTTGGTGTCTGTAATGTCTGAAATGAAGAGATATCATGAAACGGGCTGATTTTATTCAATGCACAGACAAACCTTTATTTTGTTTATATAGATATTTCATATTATTAATTTCGTCATGTTGATGTTTTCACTTCTATTATGTGATATAATGCACACACCTTAGTTTTTCTTGTCATTTTTTTTTTCTAGTGTGCCGAAACGTCACCCATCATCTACGAACCGAAAACGTTCGTCAGCAACTATTGCCCCGACGTCACCAACGACATGCTACAAGAGGGACTGAACTTCGGCGCTAAGGCATACCGTTACGATCTGATCGGTCCCTATATTACAGAGTTCACCAGTCAACAGGCTCTTCTATTGTCCCTGCTCAGCTGTCTAGTGACTCGAGACACCGAATCTTGCTCCATCCTGGCCGATTGCTCTAACCGCATCCAGCAATTGCGGTCCAGGCACGTCACACTCTGGTTGAGGGAGGACTTCAGGTTCCGGGAAAGCGACATGAAAATGGCAATGGATCGTCTTGACTCAACAGTAGCTGCTGGAATGCTGGTTCTGGACTCAAAAGTCTTGACGGTTTTCTCTTCCCTCGCTGAGAGCTATGGGATTACTCTGCAATCGAAAGTACGTTTTATACAATTTAACTTTGATATGTATATATTTTTTTATAAGAACTAGCAATCCTCGCTTAATCTTCTCGTGCTTTTAAAATAAGTGAAAAACCTGAGAGAAAAGCATTGGGATCTCCTTGATAACTGTTTTTTTCCTCCACGGATGGAAGAAGAATTTGATGCGGAGTTACTCTGGCTAATTGTAATAATATCAGTAAATATTTAAAAATCGTGTATAAATAAGTAAAAAAAGCTATTTATTTTTTAAGGGAACAGCTACATCAATTTTTAAAATTGATGACTCACAATATTAGGTGAGATTGTTTGAGTGTCCTTGGAGCCTTTGTTGGACAGTAAAATAATGTTATGAGTGAAAATTAAGGAAGGAAGATTAAGAGATTCTATAATCGGCCGGTAGGATCCGTTTCAAAAGGATCTTTTCAAAGATTTTTGAAAGAATTGGGAGTAAGCTAATTGGTCTATTTGATGTCAGGTTTGCTTGGTTTTGAAAAAGGATAATAGCGGAATGTTTCCATAATTTACAAAAGTATATAGGATGCAACTGTAGATATATGTGAGGAATATGTTTAGGTATAGAAGTTGTCGAAGAATTTGGTGAATAAGCAGATCGTATCCAGGAGATTTAGGAACCGTGAATTTTTATAAATGAAATTTAACGTCGTAAGGAGGAACTACTTTGGGAGGCAGAGAAAGAGGAATAGGTGTGATAGATGTGATTTTATATATTTGTTACTATTTATTTAATATTATATATATATATATTTGTTTATTTAGAAATATTACATTCTGTCTCATCAAGGACATTGATAATAGTGATCAGAGAAAGCACACTCACACTCTATTTACAATAAAAAAAAATAAATAAATAATACAGAAACTTAATAATAATAAATACAATAAAATAAAATAAAAATAAATACAATAAAATAAAATAAATGTCATATTATCACTAATAAGATCAATTATAAAGTTACTCAAACTATATAATTTTTTTAAAATATTTACAGAAAAAAAGTGGCGATTTGGCGCTTGAACTAGAAAATGCTGTGACTAACAACATCGCTTGTGAAATTATTGCACTGGCTAATGAAGGAGGAAATGTCAATGGGTTGACTCAGTCCGGGGAAAGCCTCGTTCATTTGGCCGTAAGGAGTGGAAGTACGTCTTCTATTGCTGTACTGGGGTATCTGAAGGCAGATCTTGACGTTTTCAACGCCGCTGGTGCAACTCCTATGGAAGAAGCGGTTATAATGAACAGCGTTCCAGTTATCAAGGAACTGATATTGGCTGGTGCTAAAATTGAGAAAAAGTTACTCAGAGGTAACTCTTACCTCCATATTGCCGCCTTTTCTGGCAAGAATGAAGCATTGGAAATGTTACTTGAGGCAGGACTTAAACCCGACTTAAGGAACCACCTGGGCGATACTTCATTGCAGCTAGCTGTCAAAGTAGGAAATGTCAAGGGGGTGGAGATCCTACAGGAAAGATGTTGTAATAGCTCTTTTATATCAAAAGAAGAGGAGAGTCTTCTGCATTTGGCAGTTGAGTCATCTGATATTGATATGTTCACAGCATTAATAAAATGTAGGACTTTACAAGATCTCCAATTCGAAAGTAATGACACATTAGTTCACATGATAGTTCGTTCGAAAGAGGCAACTGAAATGCTCAAAGTACTGAAAGTTCAAAGAGTGCCATTAAACATCAGGAATAAGGATAGTCTCGCTCCTATACACATCGCTACTGATCCATCAGTTGTTGAGGCGTTGCTGGAGATGGGTGCGGATGTCAATATTACTACAGGAAAGGGAGAAACAGCTCTCCACATAGCTTCGACCAAAGGATACCTGAATGTCTTAAAAGTTCTTGTTAAACACGGTGCAGGAGTTGACATACGAGATAATCACGAGGAAACTGCTCTAATGGCTGCGACAAAATCTAAGACGAATATCCTTGTTAAGTATTTATTGTACAGCGGTGCAGATCTAACACTCAAGAATAAAGAAGGTGCGACAGCGCTGCACTTCGCCTCTGAAGGAGGCTGCATTGATTGTGCATTAATGTTGTTGGACACCGGAGCAAAAGTGGATGAAAGGGACAATGATAAATTCACTCCTCTGCATTATGCTGCTCGAAAAGGGCAAGTTGGCGTGGCGACTTTACTGTTGGAACGTGAAGCAGATCTAACAGCTAAGTCAGGTTTGGGCAGGACTCCACTAATGGAAGCATCTATTAATGGCCATTCGGATGTGGCGAAGCTTCTAATTGACCGTGGAGCGCCTATCAATGAAAAGGATGAGGGCGGATGGACTGCACTACATGATGCAGCAGGAAACGGAAAAGTTGGAGTGTTAACTTTACTATTGGATCGTGGAGCAGATATAACAGCCAAATCAGGTTCGGGTAAGACACCACTAATGGAAGCATCTGCTACTGGCCATTTGGATGTAGTGAAGCTTCTCATTTACCGAGGAGCGCCTATCAACGATAAAGATGGGAACGGTTTGACTGCACTACATCGTGCAGCACGAGAAGGGCACGTGGGCTTGGTGTCTTTACTGTTGGAACATGGAGCGAAGCTAAATGTTAGGTCAGTTTATAGACACACGCCACTAATGGAAGCATCATTTAATGGTCATTTAGATGTGGTGAAGGTTCTAATTGACAATGGGTCACCTGTCAACGATAAGGATAATGGCGAAAGTACTGCCTTACATTATGCAGCACGACAAGGGCATGTTTGCGTGGTGAGATTACTGTTAGAACGCGAAGCAGGTCTAACAGTTAGGTCAGTTAACGGCCAGACGCCACTAATGGAAGCATCTGCTAATGGCCATTTGGATGTAGTGAAGCTTCTAATTGACCGAGGAGCGCCTATCAACGATAAGGATAATGATGGATGGACCGCCTTACATTATGCAGCACGACAAGGGCAAGTTGGTGTGATGACATTGCTGTTGGAACGTGGAGCAGATCTGACTGTTAGGTCAGATAACGGCCAGACTCCACTAATTGAAGCATCTATTTTTGGTCGTTTGGATGTGGTGAAGCTTCTAATTGACAGAGGATCGCCTATCAACGATAAGGATAAGGACGAATGGACTGCCTTACATTATGCAGCACGGCAAGGGCATGTTAGTGTGTTGACGTTACTGTTGGAACGTGGAGCAGATCTAACAGTTAAGTCAGGTAACGGCAAGACGCCACTAATGGAAGCATCTGTAAATGGCCATTTGGATGTTGTGAAGGTTCTAATTGACCGAGGAGCGTCTCTCAACGATAAGAATAATGATGGTTGGACCGCCTTACATTATGCAGCACGACAAGGGCAAGTTGGCTTGGTGACTTTACTATTAGAATATGGAGCAAATCTAACAGTTAAGTCACTCTACGGACACACGCCACTAATGGAAGCATCATTTAATGGCAATTTAGAAGTGGTGAAGATTCTCATTGACCGAGGAGGGCCTATTAATGATAGCGATAACGATGGACGGACTGCATTAGATTATGCAACTTACGGAGGGCATGTTAGCGTGGTGAGTTATTTACAAAGAAAAGATTAAGTAACTTCTCAATAGTATGTGAGCACCAAGATCAAGTTTTGAAAAATTCATTGATTATGGGGTGGAGGGCCCAGCGATGAATGACTTAATTTGATAAAATAAGTACGAGTTCACGTCCTGGTGCTGGAGGGCTTTTACCGCTTGCATTAATTCCACGGTCCCAGCTCCTGACCCAGGAAATCTCCTATAGCCTAAAAAAGACGAGGAAGGGAAGAACAAGAAAATTTAAATATGCATTTATTGTTTAACAGAACCCTGTTATAAAGTATTTTATGTTTTTCGTTTATAATATTGCACAGTATTCCTGATTATATAAATAAATAACATAAGGTTATGTAAATGTGCTAATGTTATAAATAATATATATTTATATTTTCTAATATGTTTACTATTCTCTATTTTATTTCGAGTGCTTTGTTTAATTATCCACTACGAATCTTGCTAGAGGTGTATTATAATATGATTCAAATTACTACAAGAAACTAATTTTCAAAACCCACATTAAACTGAAAAGAAAATAACTGAGAAAAAGCTTTGAATCATTATTACCAGGTAAGTGTCAGACACTCTAACTATAGTAGCTAAAACTATAAATAAAACCTTCATGGATAAATGAGAGCCTTTAGGGAAACTTCAAACACTCAAACATAAGAAAAGTTCAACAAATTCATCCAAAAGCATTGCAAAATACACTGACAGGCAAAAAATTCCACCCACTTGATTTTTTCATGTTTTCATCTAAAAATATTTCTACTTTGGATTGGTCTATTGTTTTTAATGAATAAATAGGTAATCTTTTTGTTTGTTTTCAATTAGGAATGTTAATACAGAGGACAATAATCCTTAATCCTTAATTCAATGAAATGATTCTAGATTCCAATGTTTACTTTATATGGAATCAAAATGTTTATTCAGTACCATTAGTTCAGTGCCGTTTCTTGCAGCACATTTCTTAGTCTCCGGCTTTTAATTTTTTCAATATTAAGTTTAAAAATGCCTCTTAGTGCTGAGGAAGTTGCACGTGGTGTGGCACTTATTGTGATGGACGTTCCATTAGATATGCAGCTAATGCCATTGGAGTTCCATATGAAACTTTACGAGACCGGGAAACTGGTTCTTACAATAGAAGGCCCGGTTCTGGACGGCCTAGGGTAACAGAACCACGGGATGACCGGTTTTTGACTTTGAGAATTTTACGAAACCGGCACCTTACCGTTGTTCAAGCGATTCATCAGCTCGAAGAAGTTCAAGGTGTGCAAATTTCTGAACGCACCGCTCGGAGAAGATTAAATGAGTATGGATTAATGGTTTTTCGTCCAGTAAGAGGACCATAGTTGACCAGAACTCACAGAGTAACACGGCTCGAGAAGGAACCACGTTGGAGAGGTTGGCTTTGGGAAAAATTACAGGCTGCATATCTTTCGTTTCTTCTTCTCCACACCCTTTAATGCCCGTCTGAAGACCGAAGAGCGAATCTTGACTCATCTGTAAAAAGTACAGCACTCCATTCGTACATAGTCCAATGGCTGTGTGGCTGTGTTCACACAACGCGGTAAATGATGGCAATACGTCTTCGTGTGGTCATACGCCTGACAATTGTGGCACAGGACGATATTCCTCTTCGGGTACGGTTTCTCCACTTTTACACTTGTGTAGTATAATAGGGTTATTTCGTAAATTTTATTGATTACATGAGTCAGTTCCAAGTCTATAAAAATAAGGATAGAGGGACTTTTACTCTTGGCTGTTCCTTACTGTCCTTATAAACATTTGTTATCTGGCGCACTTTGAAACCTAAAGTTGGCAGTTCTTATTCTATTGTTTCAGTTGGTGTTGAGGAGTGTAGGTTACTTATAACAACTCTTAAAGCTCAATTGATATGTGTGAAAATCTGCTTTGGTCTCTGTTAGATACTTCACAATTTTTCTATAGGTCTCAGCTGTATCTGGTGATATGTTCTCTTGTAGTGATGTACCTGGCTGGATTTCATGTTTTTCGGAGCTAATAGGTGTCATTGGAGGTGTTTGACGATATTTACGAGGTTCTTATGTGACAGAGGAAGAATATGAAGGTGTCCAGCTCTTATTAGCTACTATACTAGTAATGAACATGGTAATAATAAATAAATAAATACAAAAGCTATATGTTGATAACTGTACACAGTAAATCACACCTTTCTGGTATATCCTTGATTGTTTTAAGTGAATAATAACAGAGATTCTTCTGTAAAAGCAGTAAATAATGAGAGCTGAGTTGGAAACACAATGTTGTTCATCAGCTGATCAATCAGCTGTCCAAAGATATGTTATTAAAATTATTTCTATGAGTGTATAAAATTTGACTTCAAGATGATAAGAATTATCGATAACAATTAGTACAATCGATACAGCTATAGATAGATTTAACCCATCGATATATCGATATTACTATCGACTATTGCCAACCCTAAGTTAACCTTCCTCACATATACAGTGATACTGTATCAGACCCAGTGTTTACAGGATGTAACGGCATTTTCAAATTTTTTCCTAGTCATAAGTCGGCATTAAACTATAAATTACTGTGTCAACTATCATTATTTGAATTGGGGATCCATTGCATTATCTCTAGTAAGAACAATATGGTTGGATCTAGGAGTCAGACTAATCTTGGAGGAGACCCCCAAACAATTCAAGGGGTTGTCAAACATTTTGGATCCCGATATGGGACCAGCAATAAGGAAATACATAGGCAGCCTAAAAATTTTGATGATTCCGAATTGGAAACACTACTCAACGATTATCCAGGTTGAAAATCAGTTTTTTTAATAAAAGGTTTGCCTTGTTTTTCTCAGTATAATGAAACATTTTAAGATCATGATTGACAGTAATTTCAAATTAACTGTCACATTTAATCCTTTTTTTTTCTTTCATCCCTTACCACACCATTCCTGGCATATGGCGGGAGTAGGAATTGGTTTTTCTAGATTTGAGAAAGATAAATCAGGCAACTCCTTTCATACATTTGGCCACCATGGTCTCACGAAATTACTTGTGCACTAAAATTTGAAATTATCTTATGACTGAATAACAGCTGTAAACATATAGGCCCATAAAAATAAAAAACAAACCCATACTATACCAATGATCATAACTTTTTCATTTGTCTAATGTATGGCAATATCTCAACTACATGAGAAACATTAGTATTAATGTATCATATTTCCTTCTAAGCTATATACAAATCATTATTTATACATAATTACCATAAAATTTTCATACTATTATCTAGAAACTGATCTATTATTTTTTTTCTCATTTATTTATACTTGTCTTTTGAATTGGATCTCTGTTTATACCATAATTAGTAATCACATCATAAAATTGTCCCAAATATGGTATATAAAAATTCAAACATTAAAGTAATGGAATTGAGTAAGCAAACACTTTTTATAAGATGGTTAAATATATAGTGATGTTAGTAGCTTTTTATTGTACCAACTAAAAAAGTTAACTCATGAAATCTTAAACCTGAGAGATGATATTTTTAATTTGTATCATTCATTATTGTTAACGATGTACATTAAACAAGGGATCAGTAATTAGAAAAGAATTGAGGATAATTTTTTTTTTTTATGAATCCAAAAGAAGTTATAATTTTGAAGAGAAGGTTAGTTGGAGTGAACAGTCAAAGTAAAAATGGCAATAATATTTATTTTAACATTTGCCAACGTTTCGACTCGAAGTTCAGCCCTTGATCGAAGAGATCGCTTCGATAGAATGAAGGTATTGTGCTTCTATGGAAGCAATCTCTTCGATCAGCCCTGATGAAGGCCTGAACTTCGGGTCGAAACGTCTGCAAATGTTAAAATAAATATTATTATTTATTTTTTCCATTTTATTTTTGACTGATCACCTCAACTATCCTTCTATTCATTATTCACTACATTCAACCATCGACCCACAATTATAATTTTCATTTTAATTTAATAAAGTTATAATTTTCAACAAACTAATAAAAAAAATTGTTTTCAACTTTTGCATCATGACAATGGACTTGCTAATTATGAATTATGCAATTCTTTAAAATTTATTTTTCCTGCTTTTCTTCTAAAGTATTGAAATATTATTATTCATTTATAAATGTATATGTACTCTCAAAAATATATCAATCTATTAAAAGTTAAGTTTTGAGTTTTTCTCATGAGCTATTGATATATAAACACTTCCATAATAAAACACCTTATTTAAAAAAAAAAATACTAGTTAATTAGGTTATATATTTCGTCTTTTAAACATTCAGTTGTTAATTAGCAGTTTAATTGTTAATTATATATTGAGAAAAATGTACACTTTGATAGTATGATGAAATACCATTACAATATGTCAAATCTAATACTTTTTAATATTTTCAGATGATGAGACTGAAAATAGACAGCGTGGAATAGAAAAAGTAATATTATTTATAAATAATATTTAATATATTACCTAAATGAAGAAAAAAAAAATTAGTCTTTTTTTTATTAAAATATGTTTGTTTAAAGAAAAACAATAAACAAACCAAATAATACAGTTACTTAATTTGTATGAAAATAAGAGACTGTATTAGTCAATATAATTATTATCCGTCATAAGTAATCATAATATAAATTATTGCTTTCTTGATAGATCTTTCTTGCCATTTGGTACATTTTCAATTAATTTCAGGAAATAAAATACCCAAAGTCTGTATTTTTCATCATCAGCAGCGAGTTTTGCGAAAGATTTTCTTATTATGGAATGCGTGGTAAGTAAAATTTTCTTTTCGAATGTTATTGTTTTAAAACAAATTGAAAAAGTTTTAATATCGTTGCTACCATATTTAAGTACAATATGGGAATTTAGCTATTTTTTTAATTTTAACTATTCTACTTTTCTAATCTTTGTTTACTAAGTCAGTCCTAATTTATCATATAGTATCAATCTTTGATTAGAACTTTTATATTTCATTTATCAGCATTTATTTGTAGCGACATTATAGATCAGAATATCAATAGTGAAGAAGTATTATCTCTGAAGAACTGTAATAAAAAAATAAATGAAACACATATTCCATATTTTGTCTCATTAATATTATAAAATAATACATCATGGAATAGTACTCATTGAATATACAGGGTGTTTCAGAGTTAAGTGGCCAAACTGAAAATATGAATTAAGGACCTCAAAACAAGAAAAAAATTCCTCTGAAGGTATGTTCGCAAACGCTATGTTTGAGAGATATTCACACCTAAAGATTTTCATTGTTATGAATTATTTACGTTTTATTAAGTAAATAAAACTTATTTTTTCCAACTACTTTATTAATTAAACGAAAACATTAAATGTTGTTTAATTTCCTTGAGCATTAAGACAGGCTCGTCATCTTTCTTCAACAGCAGCAGTGGCAGAACGGCACTGGATACGTGTTATCGTTTAACATGATTCAATTATCCTTTGTAAGGAATTAAGGTCATTGACCGGACTTGCATAGACTTCCAATGCTAATTCCAAATAGTATTAATCCATATGTTGCCAATAATTTTTAAGAGTTAGAGATAAAGGGCCATATTAGTATTCTATCTAATCCATCTCCTAAACAAAGCGTTTGCGGACATACCTTCAGAGGAATTTTTTTTCTTGTTTTAGGTCCTTAGTTCATTTTCGCAGTTTGGCTACTTAACCCTGAAACACCCTGAATAGGCGAGACCTATATGTGTAAAAAATACACTGATAGACAAAAAATTCCACCCACTTGTTACCCATTAAGGAACCATGTTGGAAAGGTTGGCTCTGGGAAAAATTACAGGCTGCATATCTTTCGTTTCTTCTTCTCCACACCCTTTCACGCCTGTCTGGAGATCGAAGAACGAATCTTGACTCATCTGTAAAAAGTACAGCACTCCATTCGTCCATAGTCCAATGGCTGTGTTCTTGAGCAAAAGCCAGCCGTGTTACTCTGTGAGTTCTGGTCAACTCTGGTCCTCTTACTGGACGAAAAGCCATTAATCCATACTCATTTAATCTTCTCCGAGTGGTACGTTCAGAAATTTTCACACCTCGAACTTCTTCGAGCTGATGAATCGCTTGAAGAACGGTAAGGTGCCGGTTTCGTAAAATTCTCAAAGTCAAAAACCGGTCATCCCGTGGTTCTGTTATCCTAGGCCGTCCAGAACCGGGCCTTCTATTGTAAGAACCAGTTTCCCGAAAACGCCTGACGGCGTCTCGTAAAGTTTCATATGGAACTCCGATGGCATTAGCTGCATATCTAATGGAACGTCCATCATCAATAAGTGCCACACCACGCGCAACATCCTCAGCACTAAGAGTCATTTTTAAACTTAATATTGAAAAAATTAAAAGCCGGAGATTAAGAAATGTGCTGCAAGAAACGGCACTGAACTAATGATGCTGAATAAACATTTTGATTCCTTAGAAAGTAAACATTGGAATCTAGAATCATTTCATTGAATTAAGGATTAATTGTTATTGTCCTCTATATTAACATTCATAATTGAAAACAAACAAAAAAATTACATATTTATTCATTAAAAACAATAGACCAATCCAAAGCAGAAATATTTTTAGATGAAAAAATCAAGTGGGTGGAATTTTTTGCCTGTCAGTGTATATCAAGATATACAGTATCAGATAAGTGATATAATTTTCTGATGATAACTTGTCTAATGACTAAAAGAGAACGGGTGAGAACAAAACATTATTTTATTTTGATTTGCCACTTTAAATTCATGAAAAATATAACAAAAATTGATTTTAAACAATTTTTAATTGCAGTATAACATAACCTTTTTGTCCCTACTTTTAAGTAGTACTTTTTTAAGTGCAAATTATTTCCCTAGATATTAATGTGCTGTTTTTAAAATAAATTCCAAATTATTACGAATATTACGATGTATCATAATGTCAATTGGGTAGTACTATGAATTTTCACATTTTATTCATCGCTGATGATTATTATTATTTTTTGCACTACTGCCATCCAAGGGCATTGATCTCCTCACACATTACCAGCTAAGCTGCTCTGTCAGCAGCAACAGCTCTCCGTCTAACTTCTGGCTGCTGCAGGTCTGCTTCAATGTTGTCCAACCATCTCATCCTATGACGTCGACCTCTTTGGCCAACTCTTGGCTTCCCGTATATAAATTATTTTGGGAGGCGATTGTTCTCCATAATGTCCTTAGCCTCCTGAACCTTCCTTTTTTTTTTTATTATAGCCACTATATCTTTGCAGTGGAGGCTGCTCATATAATTCTCGCAATTTTTTTATTCTTCACAATTTATTTTTTCTTATTTTCCACTCTCACCTAGAGACTGGTCCGTATATTTTTCTGAGAACTCCTTGCTCCCACGAGCTTAGACGCCTTTCCATATCCTACCTCAAGAGCCATGTTTCGCTTCCATAGTTGACTACTGGGTGTATAATGGTTTTATAAATGACCACCTTTGCTCTCCATGCAAGATTTTTGAAGCTTGATTCCTTGCTATGTTCCAACGCCTCATTGAGTGCATCCTTGCTATAAGGTGGACACTGTCTGCGTAGACCAATACCTGTGTGTATCTATTGTAGATTATGCCACCAGGATAGGTCCTAATTTCCCACACCGTGCATGCTTTATTGAAGTCCATTATTATCAGCAAAATTCTGCGCAAGAATGCGCTGTGATTTGATCCGACATTGAGAGAGAGCCGCTCATGGTCATTCGGACTTTTTGGGGACATCTATGAAGGGTTGGTGCAGTGTCATGTTGCATACATGAGTCTTTTTCCAACAGCTACCTTACCTTAAAGCAAAATTATAGTCAGTTGTCGACATTTCTTGTCTAAATCCACTTTGGTTTTCACCGAAAATACCCAGATTGGCATTTAATCTTCTGCAAATCAAAGATGCCAGAAATTAGTAGACAATGCTTAGGAAAGCTATTACATCTCAAAGTTAGGTTATAACAATAAAAACACAAAAAGTTCCAAATTTTCCAATGCAACTTTGCGAAGATGATTAGAAAAGAAAATATCGATTGGCAATAACTTTTCTTCTCTCAATTTCCTTTGAGATGTCATTGCCTGCAGTTATCAGGAACCCCAGGTAGACAAATTTGTTTGTATTATATAAATGTCTATATTATATGATAATATAAAATATCTTCTGAAAAAAAATATAAAATAAATTTATTGAATTCTAAATGGTTGACCATAGTATACTATTCAGGAAGGAGATGGTCCAGGGTGGCGGTCATACAAATCTTAAATCAGTTTTTCGCTATTTTTAATTTTTTTTTTTTTTATGATCGCCACCCCAAACCATCTCCTTTCTGAAAATAAATTTATCAAAATTATTATGTTGTTTTTAAGAAATGATAAATTTCAGGTGTTTTAGCATTATATCTCAAAGACTCTCTTCATTATACTGAAAATAATGCTACAATAATCTATCACATGTTCATCGTGCTGTGTTACTTCACACCTCTCTTTGGCGGGATAATGGCTGATGCATGGCTAGGAAAATATAAGTGAGATTTTCATGGTATAAAATTTGTATATTGTGTTAGATTATTTCAAATATCAGTTTTTATGTTATGAAGCAATGGAATATAGAAAAACTTTAAAGATATTATTGTTTTCTCACTACCTAAGGTAGGGAAGCTTTTTATTTGTGTGGGATGTTAAAAATAAATTTGGGCTCAGAATCAAAAGTTTTCATTCTCATTTAATATTTTAAACGCCAAGGAACAGATTCGTCATGTCTATCTGAGTATATTACCTATTTCTGTTATTATGATTTTCATGAAATTTTCAGATAGTGTGCGGGTTGGTTCCTAGATGGTTCCATATCGTTTTCATAAAATTAGGCCCCAATCTGGAGGAAAGTTTGGAATTAATGCAAAATGGTCGAGTATCGATTTTATCAAATGGCATCCATTACTATTACTAACAAATGTGTAAACTTATTTCCCTCGACAAGCTTATATTTCACACTGATAACAGCTCATTCAATTTCACCCAAAGATAGAGAAAATTTGGGAAATAATGTACGTGCGGTTTGTTATCAATTTTATCTGTTATCATTTAATAATTTAAATCAATGTAATTGTTAGGAATATATTTTTTTTCTGTTGGCATTACAGACGTATCTTTTGCCACCTTAATCAGCCTTATTAATCTCTGGGTTATTTCTTTCCAGTTATCTGCATGCAGCACTATTTCTTCTATGTAGATCCGATATTTCCATCTGGTTTTTAGCCTTCTACATGGTCTTTCGCTACATGTTCTGTTCATCTTAACCTCCATGCCTTCATATCATGAGATGTTGATTGACAGTTTCTGTAAGCAGCTCTTTATTCATCTATCTCCTCTATATGTTAGTATTCTGATCCCAGATTGCTCTGGTTATCGTTTAGAGAATTTTGTTCTCAAATCGTTCAACACTTTTTCTAAGGTACTGGTTTTCTTTCTTTTTTTCTATACATCCTTAATTTAAGATTTTATAGGATTTCAATACTTTTAAAAGAGAGAAGAAAGCTCTGTTTGCGCTTGTTATGCACTGGTCTATTTCTGACTGTTGTTGATTCATTGAGGTTATTGTGGTGTCTAGATATTCGAATTTGTCTGTTCTTGGGAATGGTTTCCTTTTTATACAGATCCTGTTATTAGGGTGAGATTTTTAGCTTATTATCATGTATTTTGTTTTATCATCATTTAACTGTAGGCCGATTTGCTCTGTTTCACTTATCAGGGTCGTAGCAAGTTTCTCAATGTTATCTTGATTGCTTCCAAGGACTGCTATATCATCTGCGTATCCAAGAATTTTATGATTCATTCCGACATACACCTCTCCATTTTATGGAAATGAAATCATCCATGGATTTCAGTTATTATTATTATTTTGATATATTTTAAGCAAATTAATACATTTTTTCTAGTTCTTAGTAGTTCATAAAATAATTATAAATAGAATAAATAAATCTTCTTAGATTATACATAAATATTAAATAAATGAAGCAAGATTTGCAGTTAATAATAATGTTTATTAAGTTTGTCGACATTTGGACCCAAGCATGTGGGTCATCTAGTTTCGAAAAATTTTCCTATATTTCAAGAAGTTTTGAAATTATTTGAATTTCTCAGAAATAGTCCTTAGTATTTATGAGTACAAAATATTTGTTTTGGCTATATTAGAAAAATATTACATTAATTACAAGTAGTGCTAACATTTTTTCACAAATAATTTAATATGATATATTCAATAGCTATTTTCAAATAAATGATAGAGTTTTTCTTTTTTTTTTTTATCTTATGCCTTGGTCATCTTGAGCTCTTTCTGCCATGCGACGTCTAGCAGCCCAGTAAATTTCCCCTTCTGTCTTGGCTTTGTTTCTAATGTCCTGTAGTCCGGGACAAGTCAGTGGATGCAGAACAGTCTTGAATCCTTGTCGACACAGTGGAAATGTTGCTGATTCGACAACTCCAATACGGTATAGATGACTTTAGAGATAATCATGTCCGGTTTTCATCCTAAACTTTTCAACGGCCTCACTTCTAGAGAGATCCACTTTAATCCACAGGTACTCTTTCATTTTCTTCTAGTAATGAAGCCCATTGTTTCTTCTTTAACTCCAACGGCCGTTTCTATTCCAATTCTTCAATGATTACTGTTTTCATTAAGTTCTTTGCCATCAAGAAAGGGATTGGCATATTTGGCTGATCTTTTCTGATACCTTCTTTTCCTAAGCGGCCAGCATTTTCATTACCTGTCAAACCACAGTGTACTGGTGTATCCACTGAAGAACGATATCTGATTCTAAAATTAGTAAAATTCCTGGCACATACTAATTGGATTTGCGGAACAGGAGGAAGGATCTGAAATGGAAATTATTACAACTTGTGAGTCAATTAGAACCACAATTTTATGCGGTTTAGACTTTTTTATCTGTTCTAATACTAGAAAAACTGCTTTTACTTCACTATCAAAATTACTTGCTAGCTTTCTCACAGCTTTTGGAAATGTTCTGCATAAACACCAGCTCCCCCATCCTTTCTTGCTCTATTCGCAGAACCGCCTGTGTATAGGTGTAACCATGGGGGACTGGGGTACCTCTCCTTATGGCTCCAAGTACTAAATGCTTTAGTTCTATCTTAGAGCAACTTTGCTTGTTGACTGGTTGTAGAAGCTGTAAATTGCTTTGTGCTGACTTTATGGAGACCCTTGGTGGAATCGTCATGAAATTTTCTCATGAAGAAATAATAAGTCCTTTAATTTCTCTAGAGGAGTGGGGGTGGGGTAGCTCATCGGTAGGGCACTGATCTTCCAAAGCTCAAGATTCCGGGTTCGAATCCCAACTCATGATTTCTCTAATTGTCTCCAATTTCTTCATGAACGTGAATTGGGTTTTGAGCTTCATTGTGGCAGGTTTACATTCCTTCCAATAGTCAATTTCCAAACGCATCAGTTTCTCACTCATTGTTAGCACAGTGATCTCATTTTGTACCTTTATGGGTTCTATACACGTTTGAAGCTGCATAGCTGTGATAGGTGTTGATTTTGGGGCGCCAGTAATAATTTGGAGGGCCTTGTTTTGCACTTCAAATAAATGCTAGATATATGTTTATATTCTTTGTTATTTGGCAATAATGACTTCCAATTAACAACAATTGAATTTATTTGTTATATTTCCAAATTACATTTTTACATGTTAACGTTTCGGAATATTTACTCCCATCTTCAGAACTAAAATCCCAATGATTTTTTGTTGATAAATGGCTTAAATCTAATGTGCTCCATCGTCAGGTTCTAATTCAAGTTATAATAAATTAAGGTATATAATATCCAGAGCAATATCATGCTTTTAGACCAATTATTGGGTGTCTGTAATTTGGAAATACAACAAATAAATTCAATTGTTGTTAATTGGAAGTCATCATTGCTAAATAACAAAGAATAACATACAACTTCCCAGAAAAAAGAAGTTAAAATTATTTTTTTTTTCTTAAATATTTCTTTATTGAATAATATTATATTCTGTTACTTAGGACATTAATAATTAGTGATACATGAGTGTATGTACAATAAATTAAAGAGAATAAATGAAATTGAGTTTAATTAAAATTAATACAGTAAAATTTTATTTTTCAGTACCATACTGTATGTTTCTTTACTTTATGCGACTGGTAACATTGTCCTTTCATTTGGGTCCGTTGCAGCATTCAGTATTCCTCACAGGTATGTATTCATTTAAAAATATATATTATTTCCATTTATAGCATTCGTTTTCAGTTATAGCAGTATAGTATAAGAGTTTTTATTTAGTGAGGAAAGTGTCATATGTTTTTGTTTTTTTGGCAAAATTTTAGAATTTGGATTTATCCTTTTAAGTTATTAAACATGTTATATTTTTATATGTTCTTTTATTTTCATATTCTGTTAACCTCTTTTTTTTATCTTTATTTCAGAGAACTCTCGTTCCTTGGGTTGTTTCTAATCGCAGTAGGGACGGGTGGAATAAAGCCATGTGTTTCTTCTTTCGGAGGTGACCAGTTCATTCTTCCACAACAAGAACAACAACTCCGAAGTTTCTTTTCCATCTTTTATTTTTCAATTAACGCTGGAAGTGTTATTTCCTCCTTCTTGACTCCAATGCTGCGGGAATACCACTGCCTCGGCAGCAATGAAGACTGTTACCCGTTAGCATTTGGTTTACCTGCTGCGTTGATGATCGTAGCTCTTGGTAAATATAACATATGTCATTTATTACATAAAATAGAAATGCATTTTTTATATTGTTTTTGATTGATTCCAAATTAGTTAATTTGTTATTTTTCAATTTAAATAACCTATTATATGATAAATGTTTATTAATGTATATTCAAATTTAAAAGGAAGCCATGGTGATAATATGTAGATTCATTTCTCAATTATTAATGGCATCCATTTACCACTTTTTATATTTTATTATTTATACTTTATTGTTAACGTTTCCGTGTAACATTCTTCAGAATATAACTTCTATAATCATTAAACAATAACTATTATAACATTATTTACAAATATTCTTGTTTAAAATATTTTAATATAATAATAATAATAAAAACAACAAAGACCTTGTCCTTATAACTTATTAAAGATATGTTATGTTTAAAGCCATTTCCTTAAAATTTTACACAATTATATATCATTTAAAAGGTCTAATAGCCTCTATTATACTTACTTAGTCATTTTAACCAGGCCAGATATATGAAATTTAATCCCATTATTATTAATGCTACCCCTATCCTTATATTATTATTTGTTATCTACCCTCTTTCTATTTAAATTATCGGTTTTTACTAACTTATTTTTTAAATAAAATTGAATATATTGCTTATCGATCTATTGATTTTTATTCTATTTATTATATCTGCCTAATGTCTATTTAAATTTTTAGTATAAGTTTTGTAATTAATAGTTTTTAGTATCAATGCTATTTATAATTGCCAAGTGACCGTAGATGACTATTTAATTTTTGTACATTTTATTTTATAGTTATATTTGTTTTTGGAAGCCCTATGTACAAAAGGAATAATCCACAAGGCAATATTGCTCTTCAAGTTGTTGGTTGTATTGGTGTAAGTATACTGTAGCATTTTTCAATATATTTGATGATCATTATTTTTAAGTAGGGAATGGGGTAGCTCAGTGGTTAATGTACCGGCTTTCTAAGCCCAAGTTACTGGGCTTGAATCAGGCTGGTGGCAGGTAATTATTTATTCTTTATCAATGGTTCTCGATTGAAGCTGGGGTCAGGAAACCCACTTTAGGTACATCCAGCCTCTATAAAGCAGGTACTCATAATTTATTAATGGGGAAAACATGGTACTTGAGCATGATCCTGACCCGAACACTTCCCTGTACTACTGTTGACCTTAAAAAAATACTTCTTTACAATGGACTGAACCCAAAATAGTCCATGGTACAGCGGTACCTTTTTATCAAATTATTAACATCCTTCTAAAAATTTATGAATGGCTTCATCTTATCGTAACCTACAAATTTTTTATTTATGAAAATTCTCAGAAATTGGGCGTTTTCAATCTGGAGATTTGTAAATTATTGAAAGAAGTTAGTCAACTGTTCTACATTTCATAGGTCATTGGTAAACTTTGGCTATTCAATGAGGTACTAAAAACTAATGTACTTAGTCCTGTCATAAATATTGTTACAAGGAAATATATACAAATTTCAACAGAAAAATTAATTTTATCAATAGCGGCATGCAGCACTTGAGGGAAGCGCTCAACTTCTCGGACCTGAGATTGTTTGAGGCTTTCCAAGTTAGGGTGTGCTCTGTGGCATGCCATCCGTTCCAGTTCGGACCAAAGCCGATAATCTAGTGGGTTGAGATCAGGGCTTCCTGAGGGCCAGTCCGAGGTAGAGATGAACTCTGAAATGTTCTTTTGCAGCCACTGCTGAGTTGACCTAGCCTTGTGAGCTGGAGCAGAACCTGCTGGAAAACCCAATGACTTCTAGCAAAGAGAGTATCATTTAGAGGCTTATTAACAGGTTCGAAAATATCATCCTGATAGTTTTTAGCGGTTGTTTTAACTCATTTTTCACAAAAATGGAGCTTCGTGGTGCCATCAAAGAAAACTCCCCACCAAAACTTCACTGAGGAAGGGTGATGACCTCTTTCCACTCTTCCAATGAATTCCTGGTCTTCTTTAGAGCTGTGTGCAAACACACGATCATTTTGGTGATTAAATTTTTCTTCAATTGTAAATTTTTCTCATCGCTAAACAAAATTTTTCGATGAAGACCATTGGTGTAACGACCAAGGAGCACTTTGCATCTATCCACTCTAATTTTTTTTAGGGAAATTGTTAGCCTTTGTCCTGTAATTCTTCGAAATGCAGCCATCCTAAGGTCACTTTTTACTATGCGAGACATTGATCTGACAGAGATTTTCATTTCCTGACACATGATTTGTTGTTATCGGATGGGATTTCTTCTAATTTGAGCAGCTACTACTCTTGCTGCATTTGCCGTTCTCTCACAGTGCCGGGTCGTGCTCTGTGACATACTGATAGGGTCTCATTATATCTATTTGTAGTCAGTACAGGAACATACGGCTGATACCCAAAGGTTTCAAGGTGTTGAAAATCTCTGACCTACATTTTCGAACTTTGTGAAAGGCGATCACAGCTATTCGGTTTTCTGTATCACCCCACTCCATGTTAACAGAACCAAAGAAAAATACAAACTAATTGTGATTATTATCCTGACATGTAAAGAAAATATCCTGATAGAGGTAAGGATTATCTAAATAATACCCTAGGATATAAACAAAGTTCAACTTTTGTTTGTATTTGATCACAAAATTGAGAAAATAGGTGGCCTACAAAAATATTGAACCATTTGACATGACCTCCATGTTCAACATGTTAAAATAACAAGATGATAAAGGCCAAACAGTCCAATATTTTTTTAGGTAATTTTTCTTTCTCAATTTTGTAATAAAATTATGTTATAATTCAAATGGAAAGCAAATGGGTTTTCATCAGTTTTTAAATTACTTTATTTAATGATAAAATGCCCCATTTGTGAGAATTTTCATAGATAAAATGCTTGTATATTACTATAAGATGAAGATGAAGCCATTCATGAAGTTTTAGAAAGATGTTAATAATTTGGACAAAAAAGGTGTCTGTACCTGTACCTGTACCACGGGCTAATATGGTTGCGCATCCAGAAGAGGAAGTAGTCGATGGAATTAGATGAGATTGATATGAAACTATCTGGATACCAACTAATGCATAATATTTGAAATTGTATCTGATTCCGATTAATGATATATTGAGTTGGTTTTCACATACATTTGACTACCAATAGACATGGAACCAAATTTGTTCCTTGATGTCTTAAACACAAAATGTAAGGAAATTTTTCGATTCTGAGCACAAAATTCTTTTTACCTCCCGCATGAATACAAAACATCCCTTACCTTTGGTAGTGAAGAAGAAAAAAGTGAACAAATGCTGGTTAATATATTTTTTATTCAGCCTAAAAGCATTATTAGATGTCTAAGCTTATTTAATTTGAGTAACTTAATTATTATGATTTGTTGAAAAATTATTTACTTTTGCTCAGGTTATATAATATAGCTTTTATTTCTAGCATGCAGTTGCAAAGAAAATTAGTTCAACTAAAAAGAAAGAGCATTGGTTAGACTATGCTGAAGATAAATATAGTGTAAAGTTGATAGCAGATATTAAAGTTCTTATGAAATTAATTTATTTATTCACACCTACGATTGTATTTTGGGCTCTATACGATCAACAGGTATGCACTATAATATATTACTTTGTATATATTTAGAATTATACTATATGTGAAATAAGTATTAAGTAATGAATAAGTATTTAAAGATATTAAAGGATAATTCTAGTCTGAAGTGGTTTCAATTACTTCAAATTTGAATGAGAACAGTTAAGCTTTATATATTGGGTTGTCCGATAAATAATGCAGGATTTTGGTTTAAAAAGAAAAAAGAAAGATTTTAACTGTTTTATTTGATCAAAATAGTCTCCACTACTATCAATACATTTCTGCCAACATGTTGGCAACTTTTCCATTCCCCCGGAATAGAATTTTACTTCTTTAAAATTAATAAACTCCAAAAACGCATTCTCTAATTCTCTTTGTCATGTAAGTAGTTGGCCAGGTGTCTAAAAAAATGATGATTCATAAACTAGACAGTCCAGAGAATATGGCAGATGTGGCAGAGTTTCATATCCAAGCTCTAATAGTTTTGTGACATACCATGTGAGGCATGTGGCCGGGCGTTGTCATGTAACAAAATGGGTCCCTTCCGATTGACCAAAGATGGATTCATTATTGCCAATTTCTGGTGCATTACATTAATTTGGTTACAATACTATTCAGAATATATGGTTTCTCCAGGATTTAAGAAGCTGTAATATTATAAACAAAAGGAAGCCCACTAAACAGTAACCATCACCTTTTTTGATGAGTTGGGGGCTTTGGAAGATGTTCTGCTGCTTCTCCTTTGTCGAGCCACTGTCCAGAAGTTCTACTATTATCATAAACTATCCACTTTTCATCACAAGCAACAATCCTCGATAGAAAAGGGTCGTTTTTGTTACGGTTAAGAAGTGTAGCACAAACTTCATAATGGTGTTTTTTTGGCGGTCGTTTAATGTGTGTGGAACGCAACTTTCAAGCTATTTTAACTTTCCAATCGCCGTAAGGTGGTCATCGACGGTTGATTTGCTAAGGTTATAGTTAAGTTTCCCTACAAGTTCTCAAACAGTTGTTCTAGGTTTTTTTTTCACCAAAGCCCGTAGAACATTGTCAATTAGAGAGGAAGAACTTCCATGACCTTTGTCTTCAAGGCTGAAGTCTCCCTCCTGAAATTTTTTGGATCACCATTGAACAGTGCACTCATTAATGCTGCTCTCGCCCCAGACTTATTGATGTTTCTGGCTGCCTGGACCTCATTCCGTCCGAGTTTAAGCTCATAAAACAAAATTATGCAAAAATCAGGCGTTGAAATCTCAGTAAAGATTAATTCTTTATAAGTAGCGAAATGTTACAGAGGTAAACAAACATTATCATTTTGCATATTTTTGACAACTCAATATTATTTCTCAAAGGTGTTATCATGGGATACATGTCTCATGTCATCGACTAGATTCCTATGAATGAGAGAGGAGGAGTTTATATTATTTCTTAAAGATGTTTTTTGTTGGTATGCTATATCTTCGTCAACTCTTCATCAAATCCAATTATTGAGCAATCATCATTTCTTTTTCCTTCAGGTGGGAAAAATAGTCACATCACCTCCTGATTTCAGGCAAAAAAAGTTATTAAGGAAAAGAAACTTTGTGTGTGAATAACTCAAAAATTATACATTTTATGGTATGGTATTGAAAATACAAAGTAAAAAATGATAATATTAATTTTCCTAGTGCTGAAATTGAGGCCTTCATCAGGGCTGCTCCTTCAAAGGGATTCGGCAATTCCTCTCTTTGAAAGCACAAATAAATGGCAATCATCGCCATAAATAAAATTTATTTTTTACTTTGTACTTGCAATGACTGCAATCCTCAAGTAACGTCTCTTCAACAATATCTTTGAACAGTCAGTTTGCACTGACATTTTGAGAAGAAACTTGAAAGAAATTTTGGAAAATTTGGGCTAAAAAACAAATTTTGGCTTTATCAGGACAATCACCCCAAACACCCTGTCATGTTAGCAAAGGAATGGTTTCTTTATAACTTTATAAAGTTATAAAAACACCACCACAGTCACCAGATCTTATTGTGGTAGAAAACTTGTGGGCAAAATTGCAGGTAGAATTTAGAAAACCTGAAATTTCTAGCAAAGAAGACTTAAAAAAATATCTCCTTGAAATAGGCTAACCCCGCAATCACAAAACAATTGGTCGACTCCATTACAAGCAGACTGAAAGGAGTGGTAGAAAATAATAGCATGCCTGCAAGGTGTTGAACTAAATTAATAGTTTTTAAAAGTTAGTAAGAAGTAAGAAAAATTATCTAGTTTTTTTTAAATAAATATTTTTGAATAATCATAGTTGAATATTTTAATTTTTTGAGTTTGTACATATTTACAATAAGACTATTATAAATAAATATGTTGAAGAGTTTCTGAGTCTTTTTGGTTTCACCTTTCTTAGAGAAGGGCCCACCGGGCCAGGAAAGATGGTGGAAGAATTATGCTGAGTTAAAAGACCCACCGGGATTTGAACTCTTAATTTTTTTTCTATATCAAACTTGGATTATCACGTTGCCAGGCAATTAACGGTGCTGTGCACATCTGTTAGCCCACTCGGCCACCCCCTCCTAACTATGAGCCACTGTACTTCGATAATTATTTACACTGGCGAACTAATAGAAAATGTTCTAGTTTTGGAATAATGTAACCTTCAAAGGGTAAAGTTCCCTATTTTATGGTTTACTAAAGAATATATTTAAATTTTAGTTGATTAAATAGACTACAACTAATTAAATAGTTAAAATTTATATATGAACATTAACTAAGTAGTTTGATTGTTTTTAGGGTTCCAAATGGACGTTTCAAGCTAGTCGGATGGATGGAGATTTAGGTTGGTTCACTATCCAACCTGACCAAATGCAAACTCTCGATGCTTTGCTCGTACTGTTCTTCATTCCTCTTTTCGAAAGTATTATTTATCCCTTTTTGGCAAAATTACGTTTAGTGAGAAATCCTCTTCAGAAATTGACAGTTGGTGGATTCCTCGCTGCTTTTGCTTTTCTTTTGTCAGGTGCTCTCGAGATTTATATACAGGTGATTAATTATATAAAAATAAAATATAAAACCAAGTACAAATTATTCATCAGCACTTTTACAGGAACTTCATTTTAATATTTAAATTTTCAAGCAAGAAAATGCGCCATCACCAGGAAGTGGGCAGTCGGAAGTAATTCTGTATAATCCGTTAAGTTGTGCTGCTGATGTTAATAGACTTTCAAATAAAGTGGTGTTACCACCTCAAGACTTCCTAGACTTGAAAAAAATCTCTTCTGAGCCTGTTAATGTGACCATATCGACAGCTTGTGCAGGTTCTTGGACTGGATTTCTTGAACTTAAGGAAAAAGAGGTATTCTAGATTTTTATTTCCCATTTCATTAAATAAAACTGGAACTATATTTTATTAACAGCCCTGGAGCCAGGATGTCGAAAGATACCGAATTTCATAAAGTATAACGAATCCCGATTCGAGATATATAATTGACCTATAATAAAAATCTCATAATCAGTGGATGCAAAATTTGATGCTCTACAACTTTGATTCTATAGATTTTTCCTCTTACAGAGCTCATTTCCAAGTTACAGGGCCATTTATAGTTATTTTTCTCAGTTTTTGACAAATTTTGTAAAAGCACCATTGGTTGATCGTGGTTTTATACCTTAGCATATAACCAAATTATGAAGTTTATGAACTCGTTCTATGCACAATTTAACGTTCTTCAATTTTATTAAAGAGTACATTTTTCGCTTTAATGAATCGTTTAGGAGTTATAGGTGAAAAAATATCAAAAAAATCTAATATTTTTGCCTATAAAAAGTTTTCCCTTGGTGGCCTGCATTAGCAATTTTGTTTTTTACACGTCTAAACCCATATATACAAGTTAAAAAAATTAAAACTTTTCTCACAATGGATTTCCTGTTTTGATCCTCAAATTACTGGCCTAATATACTTTAAATCAGCCTTCATTTTTGAAAGTAGCGGCTCTGGAAAGGCAGACTAGGTTATTTTTACTTAAAATTATATAAACTTTTGTAATTTACAATCGAATCTTCACCTGTGATGAGGTATATTTTTGGGCCCTGGCTCCAGGTGTATAACTAGTATGAAGTAATATGGAAGAAGTGCATCCTAGATTTTACAAAGTTTGAGTGTGAAGTAGAGCTGGATCCATGAGAGAGGACAAATGATAATTTTCCCCATTCAGAATTTGTTTGTTTCCATTGGCTTTGAGGCATAAACCCTAGTCATTTATTTTTGTTCTCTGTAGTTCAGAAACTCGTTAGAAGAGAAAAAAATCTGGTGAGGGCAACATACAACTTTCACTTACCGCTCAACTTTGAATAGAAATTATTTTTGGCCATATTGGGCTATTATACAATTTTTGAATTGCATTTTTAACTGAGCTGAAACTAAAAAATTACATCTAACAAATCATAAATACCATTAAAATAACCAAAGTCCTATTTATTATATCACCGGTTCATTATGGATTGTACAATCCATTGATCATGTATTGCACGATCAATTCATTATGGATTGTAATAAAATTATTAAACTTCAGTAAATATATTTAAGGTTAAAAAGATATGCATGAAATGATTTTATATTTTACTTCTTCTTTCACACAAGTACAACGCAATAGTTATTTAAACAATGTCATTGCCTTTATTAGGTGGGTTTTAAATATTTCTTTCAAACTTAAAAATATTATAAAAGGTTACATTTAGTTAGTAAATTTCATTTAATTTCCTTGAAAACATGTGATTTACGTTAAATATTATTAGTTTTCAAAAAATATTATTTATAATTTTTTTGCCAATCTCCGTTTTCTTTTACAACTTTCTATATTAGATATTGTTTTTTCAAAAATTCTCCTCTTTCCAACGATATATTATACGTATATCTTCGGACTAGTATTTTCAGATATTAATTTTCGATCTGGATAAGCATTTTTTTTTTCTCCTTTTTTCAATTATCAAATTCTTTCACAAAATATATTTAGCATTTTTTCATAAGTTTTAATAATGAGAGATAATTGGTTATTTAAAATAAACCATATTAAAAGTACTTTATAGGAAGATGCATATGAACATTGGGCATTTAAGCCCTGTAAAGTGACATCAACGGGGATAAGACCTAAATGATATTGAAGATCACTTAATTATACAATGATACCCTGAGTTTAATCAAATTCGTTAGAGCCGTTTTTGATAAAATTGTAAAAATGTGTTTCAGCGTTCATATAAAGTGGCACTTCCGCTTAGCTGATTTTAACAAAAAAGTTGCTGTCACTTCCGGCGCATATACAAACCTTAAATACTTAATATCAGTTTCGTACTACTTTTTGTTTAGACTGTTAACCCGCACACATAGACCGTTTTGCGACACTTGGTTATTTGGACTCAGGGTACCTCAGAACATGTATTTCCGTTGAAAACTGAGATTCAAAAATTTTCACGATCGCAATACTTACACTTACTATTTATTTCATATATACGTAAGTGAAAGTAAAAAAGTAATGATAATGAGATTTTATAATCTTCAGGGGAAGTATTTTTTTTCTTCCCCCCTTCCATGCCTTTTCGACTATATAGTTTTTCTGGGGTCAGTTGAGAGGGCCGGGGTTTAATACCGGAGTTATAAGTCCTCCTCTCCCTCTCCCGCTCTGGGATTAGAACTCGTGATCTGCAATTTATCAGGTTGTTGCTAAACGGGAATTTTGCGATAGCCTACTCTGCCACCCTGCCCTCCAGTAGGAGTCATAAAAGTAGTATATAGAACATAATTGAAAAGGTAAGGTGTATAGAATAAAAATCAACTTATATTCCATACACTATTACATCGAGTTGAAGTGGCTCTATCTGTCTAACTGCCTTAAGTACTTCCTTGCTACCTTCCTATACCAGGTTATTAGATCTCAGCGACATATTCGACAGGCAAAGTCAATCTCCTCTTTAAGCATGTATTCCATTCCCAATCCACTTGATCATGAATCGCACCTAAGATTCTAAGTCGTTAAACTCTCCTAAGTACACTCAGATACTATTTTGTTTATTTATTTTATTTTATCTTTCTCTATTTATTTTATGTATATTTTTTATTACCTGTATTTTTACTTTATACTACTTTAGATTTATTTATATTCACCATTTATAATTTGTTCTATAGAGCCACTAAAAAAAAAAAATTAATAAAAATAAAAAAAAACTGTACCACTACAACCCATGAAGGGTCTTGGGTTCAGTACTATTAGGCAAAGTACTGTTATAAAGCCAAAATTTGTGCTGGGAGGGGATCGAGCCAGGATCATGCTTGACAGCCTGGTTTTCCCTCTTAATAAACTATTTAATTAAAGGTACTCACTTTGTAGATGCTGGGTGTACCCCAGTAGGGTCTCCCTACCCCAGGTAGCCCCATGGCCAATGAAACAATAAATAAATTTTCTGCCATGAGCTGGGATTCGAACCTGGGACATCGAGCACTGGAAGCTTAGTGCCCTAACACAGAGCTACCTCGCTCCATTCTGTTGGAGATAATAAAGTTATTTTCATTTCATTTCATTTTCTTTCTCCTTGTTGTCTCTGAATAAAAATATTTAGTATAAATATCCTCAGGATGGATCTCAGCTTCCCACTCTGGTTATATTAGTTTGGTTGTACCTTCAAAACTACTCCTTCCTCCCCTATCCCTATCCTCCTCCATCCACATGCCAAAAATGGCGATGTAGGAGAGGTGAAAAAGACACCCTGTTATTTTAATTTTTTTCTAAAAAAAAAAAAGATCCTGCACCAATGCAACTTATGAAGTCTTTGGTTCAGTACAATGTTGGAAAGTACTGGTGCTTTATCAACAGTTGTGCAACGAAATGATTTGACCGCGAACACGCTCAACCTTAACGCTTTTCTCTCTTAATTAGTTAGAGGACCCATGTTATAGAGACTGGGTGTGCCCAAGGAAGGTCTCCTGACCTCAGGATTGATCCATCCGGGCGATGAAACAGAATAAATAATTTATCTGCCGTCACCTCTTGCAGTTTCTTAATGATAATTTTTGCTAGTTAAATGGTCTCTCAGCAATCAAAATTCAAATATGATATTTCTGTTGTAGATTTTTTCATTTATGCTGTTAAATAAAGACGAAAAGCTCTCTTTGATTCGATTAAATATGACTGGAGGAAATATGGAAATGGTCAAGTCTCAAAGTTCCAACCCTAAACTGAAGTAAGCTTCTTTTTTTTTTGAAATTTCATTAAAAAATTTATGATATATTATAATATAATATGGTAAGATCCTTTTTCTGGCTCTCACAAATGATTTGACAAAAGAGTTGTTAAGAGAAAGGGAATTAGTAGAAACTGAAAAATCCCAATTCTGATCTTTGAATTTGTAATATAACTTATTTGAAACAGTAGAAGATTTCAAAACTCACCTCTGAAGGAAAATTGATGTATCCTGGGACAAATTACATTTTTAAGATTTTTTATTGGTTATTAAGACGTGGTCCAGTTTACATTAAATTTACAACCAATATTTGAGAATCTCACAAAGTTATAAATGCTTTTAAGGATGTTAAATTAAAAAAAAAATTATCTTTTACCGCTACAGCCCGTTAATCCAGTGTCCTAGTTAAGCAGGAGTATAATTTATAAAAAATTAATTAAAAGGTAAACAAAGGCTGCTGCCCTGAGATTCATTATGCTTCTTAAAAATATAGAAAGAAATTGTTTGATATTTTTAATCAAAATAAACACGTTTTGTGAACATATTTTAATTATCTTTTTTTATTATTATTATTGATTGTTTATTTCTTATTTATCTATTTTAAGTTAATTAGGATTGATCTTTGAACTAGTATAACTAGTTTTAAGCAATATTAAATATTTTAAATTTAAGTGAGAAAAAGTTGTTCGGTGGGGAGGGAAAAGGGAAGGAGAAGGAAGTAGTGTGCGGCTCTCAGTCAGATAATATTTTAGAATAAGGTATTGTATTATAATATTGGATAGCCTACATTTTGAATTATATTGTAGATCTTCAAGAATTCTAGCAATATCGAAAGAACTAAAGAAATAATCTTTTATTATAATTTCACTTATCTTATTCCAAAGTGACAATTTTGGATATAATAATAGAAAAATAAGAATTAAACATTTAAGGATAAAGTGGCGGATTTAGGTGAAGATTTAGATAAAAATTTAGTGGTGTCATTATTTTGAGGAGATAGACAATAACATTTTCAGACAGACTTAATAAACACATTTGTTACTTGACTAACACATTACATACAGTAAAAAAAACCTTTCTGTTCTTGTCGCCAATGCCATAGACGTACAGACATAACATAAAGGTATGCGGTACTTTTACTAATACTTTTATTAGATTATAGAAATATGAATGTAACAAACAAGAAATAACTTACTGACCAAGCAACCATGTTAGTTGTGCGGTCATGGGATTCACACATATCGTCGACACCATCGACGATATGATAAGTTGGATTTATATGTATTGATTGCCTACGTTTTGACCTAATTTGTAGGTCTTCATCAGGGCTAAAAGGAACAAAATACATAAGAGATTAATGTAAACTAGTACAAAGTACAAGAGAAATAATGTTGAATCGGTGTAAGATACCAGATACATATCTATTTTAGTAGGTGAATGAAGATATTTCTTACTTTTCATTTTCAACTCCTAAAATATATTTGTAACTTATGCTAATTAAATGTTTTCTTCTTTTATATCTTGTTACTTTTCGTCCTGATGAAGACCTAAAACAATTGCAATCATTAAGTATAAGTCACACTTATCGTGTTTGTATCTACTTTGACCGGTCTTACAACCAACTTCTTAGATTTAACTAAATATATTTCTTATAACAATAGTAATAGCTTTTCCTATATTTAATAAGAACATGTTAACAGATATGAGAAGGAGTTAGTCGAGGGTGCGGTCAAATAAATAAAAAAATTAAAATATATAAATAATTTTAATTTGGATATAATAATAGAAAAATAAGAATTAAACATTGTTGGCGGATTTAGGTGAAGATTTAGATAAAAATTTAGTGGTGTCAATATTTTGAGGAGATAGACAATAAAATTTTCATACAGACTTAACAAACACATTTGTTACTTGACTAACACATTACATACAGTAAAAAAAACCTATCTGTTCTTGTCGTCAATGCCATAGACGTACAGACATAACATAAAGGTATGCGGTACTTATTATTATTATTTATTAAAATTATTTATATATATATATATTTTTTTTTTTTTTTTTTTTTTGGTCACTGGCATGGTATTAAAATTATTTATATATTTCAATTTTTTTATTTATTTGACCGCACCCTCGACTAACTCCTTCTCATATCATATCAACGGTCAACCATCTCTACATCATGTTAACAGATAATTTTATTTACAAGTTAGCTAATTATGGATTAACATTTTAGGATTCTATTTAGTAATACTGACCAGTTATCGATATCAGCACAAACTATTGATAACGTTAGAAACTTTACGGTATATTACGCATCCCATCAATCACAGCAGATCGAAATGCCTCTAAATGGAAGGTAAGGCTTCAATACTTTTAATTTTTTTTTTGTCATGAATATTAATAATGTTAATTCTTGGCATTTTTACAGGTACATCATTACAGTTAATGACACTGTTGTAGCAAACGTTAACTTGAAACAAGGCGGAATTTATATTTTAATGTTGGAAGGTGATTTAAAAAATTTGGTATGTACCTGCCGAATTTTTTTTTATATACAACTTAATTGTTAACCGTATTTTACTCATTCAAAGTTTTTATTCTATAATTACTTATTATTGTGATGGCTATTGTCAATATAAAAAAATTATTATACTCTAGCGAGTACTCTCACGTTTGATACTAATCTTTCTTCCTGATATGTTCGAAGTATAAGCACCATAGCAAGACATATTTATTCTTATATACAAAATAATATTATCGAGATAGTCTATTCAACACACACATTTGGTGAAGTTTCGTTCTTTATCACGAATGTTAATACATTTGCTGCAGTTACGGTCGCTGGGTTCTGAGATTTGTCATGACTGCCAAGCGGCTGGGATTTTTTCCTATGTTACGAAGTCTCTAAAACGGTCATTTTTAAAAATATTTGAATGGGAATTGGATAAAAGTAAAGATACAAATGTAAATAATCATTATATCTGATATAAATCAATAGGATGCCAGGGAATGATACTGCACCAGACTGATAAAAAATTATTTCCTTACTGTATCATTCCCTGGTGTCAGATACATATTCCTGCCGTGACAGGACAGTGCACGTGCATGGTCTTGTCTTCTTTGGGACTCTGTCCCCCAATAGCTCTTGAGAGTTCATCTCAGGCCCTTCCTCTTGCTTATTTAATATATATCATGGCCCGAAATTGGTGGCTATGGCGTTATCTCGCCAAGAAGAAGTGGAAATTGATAGCAGTATTAGTGAGTGTGATGTGGTTTGATAATTCGATAAATACCCAAATACCTATATTTTTCCTGCATTGCCACAATATGGTACTTATTATGTAACTTTGATTTTTTTTTTTTGTTCCATTTTTATCTTGACATTGAAAAATTATTACACTAACGTATTAATTATATCATGAAAATTATAGTTATTTGTGATAAATAAATTTTTTCTAATACCAGGAATTGACATACATTACATGAAATATGCATGAAAGGCTTCGAAGAATGATGTTTTTTTGTATTTGGACTAAAAATAAATTACAAAAAAATTATATATTAGAGATTTGTTTGGAATTCATAGAATTTTTGTTTGGGTTTTGATGAAAATGAGCAAAAGTACCTCAAAGTGGCTTTTGGAAATAATTATTGTTTGTCTAAAGAACGATAAATTATACAGTTTTTCCTTCGAAATTGTATTGGGTCTTGATTTCCTCTTCAAAATCTTTAGAACAATTCATCCCATCTTGAACTGCCAACATTTAACTGAGTTTCGAAACCTAATAATTTTTTTAATGACTTTTATTGTAGTTGTGGTAAAGCTTTGTGTTTTCAAACTAGCATTTATCACTGTGGTAAAGCTTTGTGTTTTGAAATTAGCATTTATCACTTCTCCTTGAAATTCTTTATTTAATACCTCATTCATTAAAATACATCACTCCTGAGAGCCGGAAAAGGAATCCTTAGGAAAAAAGTGGTCTGTATCACTTCACCGTTTTTAGACGCAGAAAGGTTACTGTTGTTGACTGGAACAAGGTTATTTGGCTGGAATCAAGCTCAATTAACAGGTTTCCCCTATTAAGAGTTTATAGAGCATGGGTGTGCCCCAGGAGGGTCTATTTATCTAGGGTGGCGAACGACCTGGAAAAATGGTAAAAATTAGGGAGTTTTTTTAGTACGTAATATTTTTTTCAAATTGGAAATAAATATACATTGGATAACGTTTATAATGATCTAGAAGGGGTACATTTCATCGTTATAACTGACCATGGTCGCTATATTCATCCACCTTTGACTGTCAATAACGACGCTGGTCATTTTATTGAAATCAAAGAAACAAACGTAATGAATACAATTAAAGCAAACTGGACTTAAACAGTTTTTTTTTAAAAGAAAACATACCGATACTATTTACTATTTGTAATATGTACATCTGGGTCAAAATCTGGCTGGTAAGCACTTAATCATTTGACCTGTGGTGCTCCTTTAAAGAGCATTTATTAGTTATGTCATAGTTGGTGTAATATGGATAATTATTATGCTGTTTATAGTCATAAAGAAACTAAATTACTTATGAAAAACTACATTAATATTAAATCACCCATACCTTACTTCATTTTATAATAGAAAATATCAGAGATTTATATGCCAAGTATCAACTTATACCACCTCTCAGTTTATGAAAATAAAATAAAAGCGATAAAAATAAATTACTAAAATAAAAAATTCTAATCAAGCTTAAATATGCTTCCTCTAAAACATAATATTATTTTGTAGTCAATTTTCTTTTATGTATAATAAATAAATTTAGTTATAAATTATGCATTTTTAATGTTTGTGTCGCCAGACATATTAGTCTGGGAAATCTATCATTAAATAGGGAAATGTCAGAGAATTTTACTTTAACTCTCTGGTAGCCACCCTGTTATCTCAGAGTCAATCTGCTATAATAAAAAAAAAATGATAATAATTAGAGTTCTTTTAAACTTTTTGGCACTTAATCCACCTCAATTTTTCTCTTATGTACATACAAATACTTAGGTTTTTACTTTCCTACCTATACTAGGTAAGAAAAGTATTGCGATTGGGTCCAATTTCCAATATGCGGTTTTCGACGGCTCTATATGTTTCAGAGCCCTCTGAGTCCGAAAAACACGTTTTTAACCAGTGGTCTGTCTGTCTGTCAGTGCCAAGATTTTCTCAGGAACTACTGAACCGATTTTGTTGCTTCTTTGTTTATTTTGTAGCCATTTGACTACTAATGCCTGTGACAGAAATTTGGTGCTCCATGTGCAATAGCTTCTGCACAATAAATGAAAAACATGTTTTTCTATAGACTAGCGTGAAAACGGCTTTAATGATTTTTATGAAACTTTCCTATAATGTTCTAACAATGGTCATTTCAATTTTCGTATATAGGCAAAAATAGTGATGGGTGATGGTCATGATGTTGACCAAATAATAATGGATGACGGGCATGTTGTTGACCAAATAGTGATGGACGATGGGCATGATGTTGACCATATCTCATTTTTTATTCAATCAAGACTTTATAATTCTTTGTCAAATATTCTTCATTAGTAGTAGTGGTACAAGTTTCCTTTTTTTCATACCAAAAATAAAATATTTTTTAATTCAGATTCAAATAGTTCAATATTAAATAATTATTTTATATCTTTGCTATATAATTTAACTTTGTTATGATCTATTGATGTTTTATATATTTGGTAATTTTTTAGACTAGTAAACTGTTGACCGTCGTGAAACCTAACGCAATTAGTATGTTGTGGCAAATTCCTCAATATGTGGTCATTACTTGTGCTGAAATAATGTTCGCCATCACAGGCCTCGAGTTTTCTTATAGTGAGGTAACAATATTTACTCAAATAATTATTATTTTATACAAATAATGTTTTCAACTATTAATACCCAATGGAATAAATTAAAAATGTATACATCATAATATTTATTTATTTAATATTTTGATGCCATGTACTGCTGCATTAGGCTAGAGGTACCATTTCTTTGTAACATTTACAATTTTTTAATCACTTTTATTTCTTTTATAAATTATATGATTTGATCATTGAATTTATTCTCTTTTCCTATTTACGTTCTTAGATCCAGTCTGTTGATTCCAAGTTTTCTTCTGATGTCCTGGTATTGTGCACAGTCTGTCAATGTGTGCTTGACAGTCAGTTGTTGTCGACAGCTGCTACACATCGGTGGGAGTTTTCCTCCTGTGTTAGTTTAATGTGGCCAATTCTTAGCCTTGTTATTGTCACTTCCTCATATTGGTCACCCATGCATATTAATAATAGAAATAAAAATTATTATGTAATAAAATTTATTTCTATAGAGTTTTTATGTTTGTTTAATATTCATGAAATAACTTTTATTTTATACATAGTATACACTTCATTGTAAAAACTCATGCTTACACTTTTTGACTATTATAATTATTTTCCATTCCTTTAGAAATAAATCTATATTTAATCAGGTAATTCATTTTAATCCCCTTAAAAATATATATCTCTTGTTTCCTCTTCTTTGAGGTTTGAGAGCTTTGTTTTGAGGTTCTTCAGCTGCCTCATCATATCTAGTCCGTGGTCCAGACCCCTTTTTATCGAATTATTAACATCTGCCTTGAAACTTTGTAAATAATTTCATCTCATCGTAACCTACAACTATTTTATTTACGAAAACTCTTGGAATTGGGGCATTTTCAATCTGGAGGGGGGCAAAATTTGTATATTTAATTAGATACTAAAATCTCATAAATACTCATTTGCTTTCAACTTGGATTGTAAGATAATTTGATCACAAAATTGAGAAAAAAAGTGGTATTCAAAAATATTGAGCCGCTTGGCCTGACCTACACTCCCAAATTTTCAAAATAACGAGATTGTATAGACCAAACAGTCCAATATATTTTCAGACCACCATTTTTATCGATTTGGTGATCAAATTATCTTACAATCAAAGTAGAAAGCAAATTAGCATTTAAGAGTTTTTAGTACCTAATTAAATAGACAAAGTTTGCCCCCCTCCAAATTGGAAACGGTGCGATTCCAAGAATTTTCCAAAATAAAATATTTGTAGGTTACTGTGAGATAAAGCTATTTATGAAGTTTCAGGCAAATGTAGGACAATAATTCAATAAAAATGGGTGTGTACCACCGACTAATCTGTTTTGATGGCCTCCACATTTGCAATTTTCTCAGCCTGTTCTTCACAGCGGATGAGTTTTGGTTCTACTTCTTAGAGGAATAGAACTTAATTCCCAAATCAGACAATTGAAATAAGTTGGAAAGAGAATGTAATAATAGTTAAGGAAATCAATGTTGAACGACAATGCAATTCTGATTTTTTTTTTTTCAATTTGAAGGGATTTTCCTCCAAGAACTCGTTCCTTCATGCTGTTCTTATTCCGCATTGCCATTCTTAAACATGTCAATGCTTGTATGGCTTGGGTTCAACTGAATATGGCTCAAGAGGGTGCTGTATCCTCCATCATCACAGTTTTCAGTACAAAATTTGATTACCATGATTGAACATTCCCCATATTCTCCTGGTTAGGCATGATGTGACTTTCTTGTCTCCCAAATCCAAGATGTACTTTGAAGACAGCATTTGTGTAATGTGCAGGCTCCATTAAAACAGAAATGATTAGGCCGCTCAAAAAGCTCAAAAGAGAACTTCCAAGGGGACATCCAGAAAATAAACAGAGATGGTGGAAGTTTATCATGATCTTCTAATGGAAATGTTTTAGTAGAGAAATATTAGATCACCTGTGAAGTGTAAAATAATCTTTTTTTTTTACTTTCATATAAACTCTCGTGACAAGCCTTGTATGGATATTAATGCTTCAAAAATAACATCCTTGATTCTCTTTGTGATAGATATTGTTTAATTTTTTCAAAGATATATTGAAAGTTAGTGAAACAGTGTTATACAATTGTTAATATTTTATTTTTCAGAGTCCTAATAGTATGAAATCTGTGATATCATCTCTTTGGCTATTAACCGATTCATTTGGAAATATCATTGTTTTGATAATCGCTGGATTTAAAATGGCTAATGCGGTAAATCTTTCTTGTTCAATACTTTTATTTTTTTCATTATACTTAAATTATAAAATCTATACCGTTGATATTGCATTGAAAATAAAATATTGCTATAATTTCCAGGCTCATGAGATGTTCTTCTATTCCGGATTGATGTCAATAGTGATGCTGTTTTTCATTTCTCTCGCTTACCGGTACTCTTATGTTGATCGAATAAAAAGAAACCAAGAAGAAGATGAAGATGTCATTTTAGTAGATCAGACCAGAATTTAGACTCATCTTGTGTGCGTTCCAGAAACATTGCATTTATGTTGTCAGTAACGTCAAGTTCTCAAATCCAAAAGGTAGCTGATAAACTATCTTTAAGCTTAATCTTGTTTGTATTATTATTTTTAAAATTGTTTTCTTTAAAGACTGTTTATGTTTAAGGAGGGTCTGAATTCTTAGAGAGGCCTGCTGTATTGGCTAGTAGGCAGTCAGGATTTAATCCTGTGATCTTTGCCTTGTTCGTATTTATATAACGATAGCTAAGAAGTGATACCTCATATCGGCAAAAAGTATCATTTTACTATCGGTCTGCATCTGTGTTTTCTTAAATTTTACTTTACTACTTTATAATAAAGACAAAAAAAAGTTTTAAAAAACAATTAATAAAAATAAAGAAATCATTTAAGCATTTGTGTAATTTTCTTAACTCCAAGGAGGCTTTTCAAAATAAAATAATATTTTCACATTCTTGACTGTTCTCTGTTAGCGATAATAATTTATTTATTCTGGGACGAGACTCTTTATAATAATACAGAAGACATAAATATGGGATAAGGAGCCTCAGAGATATATAAATAAAGATACAGAGTAATTAAACAGTCATAATAATAAAATTAAAAATTATAGGTTACTTTCTAATTTTAATCAGTTAATAACTAAAAATTAACAAATTAAATAAAAAGGATGAAGTAAAAATAATGAAGAACGAGCTAATAATTTATATACATATTTACATTAGTATCTATTTACAGTTTCATGGGAACTGAATGGATAAGAAATGATTGAACAGACGGGATTTAAAGGCAGGAAGGGTATTAGTTTGTCGAATGTGAGAAGGGATGGAGTTCCAAAGGGATGAGGATTGGATAATGAAAGATCTGTTAAAAGCAACAGTTCCATGGGCCCTTATATATAAGTCAGAAAACCGGAAACGAGTATTACGGGAATGAACAGAGGATTTGAATTGAAGGAGCTCAGAGATGTATGAAGGACGGTGTGATTGGTTAACTTGAAAGATGAAGGATGCCAGGAAATATTTACGACAGTAGGAAGGGTAAAGCCACTTCAACTCTGCATACAAATGGGAAACAGAGGCGTCCCTTGGTATCCCGAAGATGAATCTTACAAAGAAATTTATTTAACGGTTAATACGAGTTATCATAAAAAAACTTTATTACTTATCAAATGCTATCTGTCATAACATTATATTTTTCACACATATTGACTTCACCTATAAATACGAGGACTCATCTGTCCTTAACTTGTAGTTTCGTGATATTAATAATCTCAAAACATGAAATCTATTTTTTTTTGGCAGTTATGAGGTATAAATTCTTATCTATCAACAATTTAAATCCACAAGTATTTGTAGAAAAACCTCAAAAATATATATGCTTTTTCTTCCTTTGGGCCTTTCAGTGTTTACGGTGCCTCAAATTCATGAATCATAAGTTTCGCAGTATCGTACTAGAACCTTCATGTCATTTAGTTGTGTGCTTCTTTTCTGCCTGATTTTGGAGAAGTAGTCCTCGATAATCTACGTCTTTCTCTTTGTTGCTTCTCTGTGGGTCACTGGGTCACGGTCTTTATTCATCCACAAATAGGGAAAAATGTCCAAACCATCTTAATCACCTCTTTTCTAGGAAATTCTTTAGTGAGACAATGTCTAGTTCCCTATAATCTTTTTGTTCCTGATCCGGACTCTCTTAGTTCAGTAGGCTACCATTTCAAAGTATTTCATTTCACCAACAGTAACTCTGCTTAAGTGTTCTTCAATAGGATCCCACCTTTCACTCCCATAATTAAAGGTAGATAAGTACCATATTCCCAGATTCTGATGAGAAGAAGTAGAAACAGAAAAATAAATTAATATTCATTGCTGTATTCGGTATTATTATTATAGGTGTGGCCCTCCAGTTGAATCTCAACCTTTTCCTTTAGTTTCCGCCTATTGTCTTGGTCTCTTGCAATTCTGTACAGCTCCTGCTTTCTCCTCTCACCAAAGCATCAACATGAATTCATCTGAGGATTCTTTCCAAGGTAAGGGGTTTCTGCTCACAGACCCAGGAAGTTCTCTAAATCCGACAGTCATTCAGAAAAATTTAACACGCTATTTTTGTTATGGAGATATAGCTTTGATATTCTGGAAAGAACTCCAGAACTGCCTTTCCATAGAAAAATAACACTGGTTTTCCTCTATGATCCTCCAATGTACAAGGTGTGTAAATTAAGTAATGAGACTGATTTTACTAATTATTTTATTGAAATAAAATTATAATTCACGTTGTTTCCTTTAAAGGAATTACCTTGGGAAGCCGTACAGAACTAGAAATGACTCTTTCATTTCGTGCTGGAACTTAGATATTGGAATAGACTTCAGTTGGTTGGTTGCAGCTGTTTTAATTGTTAGCTGTTTGTTTTAGTTGGCCCCTGGCTATTGACCGAGCAAGATGCTTTCTAGTAACTGTGAGTAACTCCGGAGGGAACAAAGGGTGTTATTGCTGGAAAATAGTTTAAATACAGTGGTAGTACTCGGTAGAGCCCATGTGTATTATTTTAGTGATACATTTGCGGATTAGGCCAAAACAGCCGGATAAAGATGGAATACTGCTGAGATCACAAGGCAGAGAAACCGCAAGGTTAGAAAAGCATGTGGTAGCGCCATTGAAAGGTTAGCCGAGCTTGTGGTTAGGCAACCACGTGGAGAGATAAGGCTAGGAGACCACGTTGTGGATAAGGTTAGAAGAGCATGTGGTCGCCACTAGCCCTTAATTAGGTCAGCAGCTCTAGCAGAAAAGGAGGGGACACAGCATGGCTGCCGCGAGAGGTTAGGAGAAGCACGTGGTTGCCACGAGGCCCTAAGTAGGTCAGGACTGAACGAGCAGCGAGTGAGACCGCGCGGTCGCCACAAGGTGATAGGTTAGAAAAGCACGTGTCCGCCATTGAGGTAGGACTATTAATAGACTAAAAAAAAATATATATTTTTTTAGTTAAAAGAAAGTTCGTCACCTCTAAAGTCCAATTTCTAAATTGGATGAGATAATGTGGGTAAGCAAAACTGGTGCACTGCATGAAAAGAGGAAGATCACGTCAAGTGATGTGCCAACTCTGGGTTTGTATCTGATGAGTCTGTCGGATACAAAGAGAGGACGGAGGCATACAAAACAATGATGGGACTCTAGGGCGATGCAACTGGTATAGGGGAGAACCAGGGACCTAAAGAGGCCAAGAGGATGCTATTCCCTGGGACGCTGGAGAATGTCCCCAGGGCAAATAGGTGGAACATGTTTCTGAGGCCTCACACCTGGCAAAACAGAATTTAGAGGCCTACTCCCTGAATATGGATATGGTGATAGAAGACATGATTAAATCCAGAGTGAGGACTGAAAGTATCCCAACCAAGGATAAAATAGTGATGCCTGTACAGAGTGATAAGGGCATCTTTTTAGAACTTGCGACAGACACTGCCTTGAGGCTGGACGCACATGAGGTGGAGAAAGAGCAAGTGGAGTGACTCCTTAGGGATCGGAAAGGGGATAACACAATGCCCCAAGAACACTGGCAAGAGAGATCTTCACAGATGACGAATTTCTTGAGGGAGTCCAAAGGAGAATACCCTCGGGAGTGCTGGCAACATCACAAGCCATGGCTGATCAGGGCATGGAGGAGGGCGATTTCACCGTGGTGCAAAGGAGGAGGAAAAAGCGGAAGAGGAGGAAGAAGAAGCAGGCAATCACTCCCACTCCAGTCAAGGAGCAGAAAGAGAAAGATCCACGAGGAGCTGACTGGCAGCCTACTCACAGGGACCTGCTCAACGGTGTTGTTGATGTGGTGAAGCAGAAGCTGATCTTGGAGCAGGACCCTCAATGAGCAATAAAAGCAAAGAGGCATATGTTACCAGCAAGGGGCAAGAAGGCTGGAACCCGATGGACATATGGAGGATGCTTCCTGAGGATATAAGAGGAGATGCTGAAATGGACGTTGATGTGGTAAGGACAAAGGGACCAAGAGGCTTATAGGATGAGAAAGGCTTGACGGCAGAACTGGTCAGGAAAAGGAATCCCTGATTAGAAATAATGAATGTGTCTTCCGAATCGAGCACAGAAAAACTGGAAGAAGTGCTGTGGAAACACCTGGAGAGGAAGGGCTTTGGGAAAATGGCGGAAGGTGCCCAAGACTGCTTGGTGGTGGAGGGGAGGGCCTACTTCTTCAATTTGGAGAGAACGAAGACGAGGATGACGATAATACTACTGGACAATATCTGCTGTAAGGGGATGGTGGAGCCTCCGAGTTAGGAAGTATTTTGACCAGAATGGTCCTTACTGAGGGTCTTAAAATTCTCCAGTGCCACATATAATTTTTCTCTATTTACGCTATAAGCTCCTCTGAAATTGATAAAGAGGTGGTAAGTTTTAATCTTGTGTTCCCATCCTTTTTTTTTTTTTTTTTTTTTGTCCTCCCCTTCCTCGCGTTTAAGGCTATAGAGGGATTTTCCCGGGCTAGGAAGTGTGGGCGAGGATTTAAAAACTCCTCGGGGACGCCAACTCAGGATTATTTTTTTATCAAAGTTTTATGTATCAGGTTGCCGGACAACGGCGGTGCAGTGCACACGTGTTAGTCCATTTTGCCCACTCCGCCCACATTGTGTTCCCATCCTTGTTCAAGAATAAGACTGAGTGTTTGATCAATGTTAGACCTTCCTATTCTAGATCTGTCCTGGTATTGCCCAAGTTTACTCTCCCTTTGGGGTAGCAAACAGTTGGAGAGGATGTTTGAAAAGTCCTTTTATCCAATGGAGAAGAAGAGGATCTCTCCGTAGTTGATCACATTAGTGAATCACCTCTCTTTAATATAGGGCAAATGAGCATCCTGGCTCTTATCTTATATTCTCCAATAGCTTCTTCCCTCTGCATCTAATGAGTTCATGGTAAGTCGATTAGCTCCAGAAGCCTTGCTTCGTTGTCAGACTTCCAAAAGTTTTATCTTTGGATGTTGTCTCGACACCTTCTTAATTTCTCTCTCAACTCCATATTAGATCTCTCATTGAGGAGATTCATATATTAGAGGTTTCTCTGAGTCAGTATTATAGGATTTAATTTAATAAAATTTATTTTCTTAATTAATTTGTAAGTCTGTAAGAATATTAAATGAAAGTCTGTTCTGTGTGATAATTTCTATTTATTATTTTAATATATTAATACTTCAAAAAAAAGAAAATTAATATTTTAATATAAATTTATTTTCTTTACATATTATACATGTCTGAAAGATATTTTAAATTTGTAAACTAGTTTGCATTTTATTTATAATACATGTGCCAGTAATATTATAAATCTATGATACATAAAAATATGGAATTATTAATGTTGTTATAATGTTCCTAAGAATGAAATTTGTGATAAAGCATGTATATTTTTAAAATGTATTCACAAAATTTATAATTGTATTATTAAATAACTGTGATTTAAATAAACTCGTTTGGAAAGAAATAATTGCATTTTACAAATTATATAATGCATAAATGATCTTTTGTTCTCTATTTACAAACTAACCCGAAATTTCAATTCCACACTTAATTATTTATTTTTGTATTTAGAAAAATACAGTTTTATTCTCGCAATTGAATGGCTAAGATTATGCTCAAAAAAAAAAAAAAAAAAAAAAAAATGCAATCAGGGGAAGGTCTGGAACTAGAGAGGGGTAAATAGAGTACTTGCTCCAGCTTCCAGGATTTAAATTATAGCAACCTTCAGGAAAAATTGTTTTTTAGCCTAAATAAAAAAATGTTTTTCAAATTTTGTTTTGACCTGAATTATGCCAATAAAATGAGATATTATGTGATAATGAGATTTATTCTGATATATTTTCGGTACCATGTCAAAGTAAGAAATTTGAGCCATTTTAACATTGCATATCCGTTACTTCAACATGGTGCCGACCACATATTACATAAAATATTCTTATAAAATGTTGGTTTAATGGGAAGCATAGGAGGAAAGTAAAATTAATTTCAGCAAAATTTACTTTGCCCCTCCTGTTAAAAATCCTAATCTCCACCCTGATCAGAGATATAGGTTTTATAGAGGGAAATTTGCAATCAGCAAAGTTTCGCAACAAACAAATCTATACATTTTTTTGTAAAGGGATTAAGTTGAAAAATCTCTTGGTGAAATCCTTAAAAGTCGTCGGTGGTGGACCAGTAGACAGATGCATGTGCAAAACACTGCTTGTTCGGCAACCTGATAGACAGAAGATTACGAGTTCATATCCCAGTTTCCAGAGGACTGCTAACTCTGGCAGGAATCCCACACCCTCTCTCCTGGCTCGGGAAAAACTTCGCTGTAGCTAAAAGGCGAGGAAGAGGAGGGAAAAAAGAAAGTTTTAGGTTTCATATTATAGTTCTTCCATTCTCTATAAAATGAAAGCTCAGAAGGTTTTGAGATTTGAAAAAATACTTCAAAATGCAAAAACTGGTAAAATATCTTATTCAGTGGGTCTTAAAACTTACTATAACTTAAAACCAATACCAATACTATTTTTTTTTAAAATTTATTTTATTGAAATTTACAATTGTATTACATGAAAAATACAAGTGAATGGGAAATTGGTAACATGACATGTATAACATGAAGAGAAACTACCCATTGGTAGAACTCAAATTAAAGTTCTATATTAGAAGGTCCCGAGGCCATCTTCTTTTGAGATACCTAGGAGGGTTATCAGGGATCAAGGAGGAAGCAAGTTGATAGGCACCAAAGCGAGAAGAAACGAAGGAGTAGGTGTGTATTCGGAAGTCTATTGCAACGTATATTGGTTGTTCAGAAGGTTGCATGACACAATTTGCACCATAAACATTTTTTTTGGGGGGGGGAGCAAAGTTATACGAAGTAGTGTATTTTTGAGGGCTACAAATGTTTGCGGTGTAATGGATTTTTTATTTATCGACACATATTTACGAGTTTATGAATTCTTGGAGGGTTCATATTTTTATGATGGTATAACCCTCCAGGGAAACCGATTATAACCTCATTAACAACCTACCATAATTTTTCGAATATAATTTTATGTTAACTCCTTGGCCTCAAATTGTTTTTCCGAATGTACTATTTTATCTATAGAAATTCCCCAATACCTGCCCTTACCCTGGTTTTCCAGTTCTAATTGAAAATCCTTGCTGAACACACCTGCAAGTCTCTAATTTTATTCTTTTTCTTTTATTCCTCCCCTTTTCTTTGAATCTCCCCTGTAGATTTGTAGAATTATATTCACATTTTGCATATATTATGTATTACACTACAATAATTGTTATTATCTATTTACTTCAGTTTAGGATCTTGTTACTTAGCTTACCCTGTTTATATTTTATTTTAATGTACGTACTGTTTATAATTTTAATAAGCTTATTCACATTGTTTATATTTTTTTGTTTAAATATTGTGTAACTTACACAATTCTCTATATTTTTTTGTATCTTGTCCGTTCTAGCCCTGAAGAAGACCTGCAAAGTCGGGTCGAAAAGTTGGCTTTTAATAAAATAGTTTTACCACTATTTAGCCTATTTATGACCGCCACCCCAGACCATCTCCTTCCTTTATTACTTTCACTTACGTATACATGTAATATATAGTAGGGTAAGTATTGCGATCGAGAAAATTTTTGAATCTGAGTTTTCAACGAAAATACACGTTTTGAGGCACCCTGAGTCGAAATGACCAAGTCCCGAAAAATGGTCTGTGTGTTTGTATGTTAGCAGTCTAGCTCAAAAACAAAAAGTCCTACGAAACTGATATCACGTATTTAAGATAGGTATATGCCTTAGTTGTAACGGCAACGTTTTCCTTAAAATCGGCTAACCGGAAGTGCCACTTTATATCAACGCTGAAACATATTTTCACAATTTTCTCAAAAACGGCTCCAACGATTTTGATTAAACTCGTTGTATCATTGTATAATTAAGTGGTCTTTAATATCAATTAGGTCTTATCCTCATTGATGTCACTTTACAGAGCTTAAATGTCCAATGTTCACATACGTCTTCCTCTAAAGTACATTTAATATGGTTTATTTTAAAAAGTTAATCATTCGACATTATTGATTGTTACGAAAAAATGCTAAATATAACTTTTGAAAGAATTTGATAAGTTAATAAAGGAGAAAAAAAATAAAAATGCAGAAAAACCTGCGTTACTATAGACTGTAGCGCCTAAACGAATTTACCGATTTCAATGAAACTTCGCTAAAGTCATTTTCTCTACACCCTTTAAATTTATCTATATAACATACTTCAACGAAAAGAAGCTGGAAAAAAAGTTACAAGGGATGGTAAAATTAAATTCCCAATAACTCAAAAAGTATACACTTTTTGGGGGATATTGTTATTATTGGGATGGTTTTTTTAAGAGTTTATGGAATTTCCTAAAAAAAACAAAAAAAAATCGTTAAGATCGGACAATTAGGAGGAAAGATATGATCTCTATTTTTTCCCTCTGAAGAGGCGAAAATTTGGATAAATTTAAAATATACTTTTTTAATTGATGAGACTAAAAAAACTTTTTTTCTACAGATATTTAATGAAATATCTTTCCTAAGAACATCTTGCATAAGAAAGTAGTACCTAAATTAATACCTTTATTCTCAGTTCTGTATTTCAACACTGCAATCACCACCTCCGGAATCAACTTACTCATATTCTGCATAGATAACTTTTTCAACTAAAAATATCACTAAAATGACACCACTCAAAAATGTTGAAATTGGAGTTAGTCATTCTGTGGTTTATAAAAGCAAAGAAAGTAGTGTGGTTTATAAAAGCAGATGGAGTGACTAGATTTTTATTGCCTGTCGTCGATATATTAAATAGACATTTTGTAATTGTAATGGTCTTAATGACTTATCTGTAAGATTTAAGCTTTAGCTCCGTTTAAAATGCACTTCAAAAAAATGTATAACAGCCCAGCATTGCCAGAAAATAATTTCTATTCAAAGTAGATCGGTAAGTGAAAGTTGTGTGTTGTGCGCACCAGATTTTTTTTATCTATACATCGAATGAAAAAACTTAAAGTTTACTTATTTTTGTGTTGAAAGATGAATTCATTATATCGGTCATCCAGTTTGATGAGAAATGCAATCGCCCCCAGAACCACTATTGCTTCTCAGCCTTTCCCATAACGGACTTCCGTTGCTTGTAAAAACTGGCTCTCTAACGGTCTTTTCCGGCACACTTACCTCTTCAGGAATCTTCTTTCTTATGATCTTCATCTCTGTTTCTTC